AAAACAAAAGCAATTTAGGTCAAAGAGTTTTATACTAAGAAAGGAAATAGAAAGTCTAACAGAACAGATAGATGGCAATAAAAACTGTAACATAGAGGCTCAGAATAAATTAGAGGATAAACAAAAAGAAATGGAAAAACTTATTCAAGAAAGATCAAGTGTAATATATTATAAAAATAAAGCAAACTGGATGGAATATGGGGAAAAATGCACAAAATTATTTTTTAATCTTCAACATAGGAATGCTACCCAAAAAGAACTTAATGAAACTGGTTACAATTGACGGAGTCACCCATAATTCACCTAATGATATTTGAAGGAAGAAAACAAAGTATTTTAAGCATATGTTTTCTTTTCAGTCGCCTCCATCTCCTCTAACTGAAGCTAATTGTAGAGATTTTTTTCCTATTGATAATGTCAAATTAACAGCCACACAGAAAGACTTATGTGAAGGTGAAATTACAGAGGAGGAACTTCTGGATGCAATTAAAGACTTTAAGTCCGGGAAAACTCCAGGGTTGGATGGCATACCAATCGAGGTATACCAAACCTTTTTTGATATACTAAGAGGACCGTTATTAGCATGTTTTAACCACTCCTATGTAAATGGTAGATTATCTGACACTCAAGAAGAAGGTCTGATCTCATTATTACTGAAACAGGATACAAGTGGAAAATATAAAGATCCAGTCCATTTACAAAATTGGAGGCCCCTTACACTTCAGTGTTGTGATGCAAAAATCCTAGCAAAATGTATAGCGCATAGGAATTAAAAAGGTATTGTCGGATATTATTCATTCTAATCAGACAGGTTTTTTACATGGAAGATACATTGGAGATAATATAAGGCAAGTATTGGAAACAATAGAACACTATGGAAAATATGGGAAACCAGGCCTGCTATTCATAGCAGACTTCGAAAAGGCATTTGATAAAGTTCGACTGGAATTTATATATAAATGCCTGGAGCATTTCAATTTTGGAGAATCTCTTATAAAATGGGTCAAAATCATGTATAGTAACCCTAGGTGTAAAATAGTAAATAATGGCTATTTCTCAGAAAGTTTCAAAACTGTCAAGAGGAGTGAAACAAGGGGTCCACTATCGGCATATCTATTTATTGTGGCCATCGAGATGTTAGCTATTAAAATCAGATCCAATAATAATATCAGAGGATTAGAAATACAGGGCTTAAAAACAAAGGTGTCATTGTACGCAGATGATTCATGTTTTCTTTTAGATCCACAACTAGAATCCCTCCACAGCCTCATAGAGGATCTAGATACATTTTCTAACCTCTCTGGATTAAAACCAAATTATGACAAATGTACTATATTACGTATTGGATCACAAAAAAATACAATTTTTACATTACCATGTAGTTTACCAATAAAATGGTCTGATGGTGATGTGGATATACTCGGAATACATATCCCAAAGGAAATAAATGATCTCACTTCAATAAATTTTAATAGAAAGTTAGCAAAAATAGATAAGATCTTACTACCATGGAAAGGAAAATACCTGTCAATTTGTGGAAAAATCACCCTGATTAACTCTTTAGTATTATCCCAGTTTACCTATTTGCTTATGGTCTTGCCTACGCCTAGCAAACAGTTTTTTAAATTATATGAGAAAAAAATATTCAATTTTATTTGGAACGGCAAGCCAGACAAAATTAAAAGAGCATATTTATATAATGAATATGAATTCGGAGGACAGAAATTATTAAATATTAAAGCATTAGACCTATCACTAAAATCTCCAGTCATCCAAAAGTTATACTTAAATCCGAACTGGTTCTCAAGCAAATTAGTAAGATTGTCTCACCCACTGTTCAAGAAAGGCCTTTTTCCCTTTATTCAGATTACAACCTCTCACTTTCAGTTATTTGAAAAGGAAATAATCTCCCAAATGTCACTATTTCTAAAACAAGCCATAGAAAGTTGGTTGCAATTTCAATTTAATCCTCCAGAAACGACAGAAGAAATAATGCAACAAATATTATGGTTAAATTCAAATATACTAATTGACAAAAAAACTTTATTTTTTGACAGAATGTTTAAAAAAGGTATAATCTTCGTAAATGATATCATCGGTAGGACTGTTGGAGTTATGTCGCACATGCAGCTAACAAAAACATATGGAAATGTCTGCTCTACCCAAAATTACAACCAAATAATTGCAGCCTTACCGCAAAAGTGGAAGAGGGAAGTTGAAGGGGGAGAAAGTAAGGAACTTGTCTGTCGGCCTTGCATTAAAGAACATAATTGGTTAAGGAAAACTGTGATAAATAAAAAAGTATATCAGTTTCACTTAAGGACCAAAGGATTGACAGCAGTCCCATATAGATTGCAAAATAGTTGGGAAGAGATCTTTGACGTACCGATCCCATGGCATAGTGTTTATGAACTGACACGCAAAACGACACCGGATTCAAAAATTAGAATCTTTCAATTTAAATTATTATATAAAATTCTTGCTACCAATAGAATGTTATTTATATGGGGGATACAATCTTCCCAGCTCTGCAGATTTTGCTGTGAAGAGATAGAATCATTAGATCATTTGTTTTGGTTCTGTCCATTTGTAGCTTGTTTTTGGACACAGGTCCAGGAATGGCTAAAGGATTGCAATATTTACCTGGAACTAACCTTGCAGATAGCATTACTGGGTGATCTGAAAAGTCATAGTCAATCAATCAATAATATAATAATACTTTTAGCAAAAATGTTTATTTTTAATTCACAATCTGTAGAAGCAATGAGAATAGAAAGGTTCAGAACTTTTGTAAAACATCACAGTATGGTTGAAATATATATGGCAAATAGAAATCCTATATGGATGGTGTTAAGAGATAGATGGGAGGTATTGAATAGAGTTGAAGGATGGGACTAATAACAAATAACAACAAATAATAACAAAGATAGTTAATAATGTAAGCATACTGTGACCATAATAAGTATATAGGTTGTATGTTGGGAGCTTTTGGGAAAGAGCACAGTTAGAAAGATATGGCATTTAGAAGCAAACCGGATGGACATCATGAAAATGATCAGAGAGGTTGAGAGTAGAAGAAGTTCAGGAGCAAAAAAAAAAAATATATATATATATATATATATATATATATATATATATATAGATATAGAATTATTGTAAAATTAACTCTGTCCATAAGGTGTAGATAGTAAGTATAGACCGGAAGTAGAGGCCTGGGCGTTGTTGTTCACTAATTTACTCCAAGTAGGGAAAGGATGGTGGGGTTGAAAAGTAATAAAGGGGAATATATATATGTAAAAAAAAAAAAAAACATGGGGGATTGGAAGTGATGCAGACAATTACATTGATAGAAGATACAATCTATCTGCAATATTAAGCTGATCCATCCCCCCGAAAAAAAAAATATATACATATGGAGTTGATCCCCTCTTTGCTGCTATAACAGCCTCCACTCTTCTGGGAAGGCTTTCCTCTAGATGTTGGAACATTGCTGCAGGGACTTGCTTCCATTCAGCCGCAAGAGCATTAGTGAGGTCGGGCACTGATGTTGGGCGATTAGGCCTGGCTCGCAGTCGGCGCTCCAATTCATCCCAAAGGTGTTCGATGGGGTTGAGGTCAGGGCTCTGTGCAGGCCAGTCAAGTTCTTCCACACCGATCTCAACATACCATTTCTGTATGGACCTCGCTTTGTGCACGAGGGCATTGTCATGCTGTAACAGGAAAGGGCCTTCCCCAAACTGTTGCCACAAAGTTGGAAGCACAGAATCGTCTAGAATGTCATTGTATGCTATAGCGTTAAGATTTCCCTTCACTGGAACTAAGGGGCCTAGCCCGACCATGAAAAACAGCCTCAGACCATTATTCCTCCTCCACCAAACTTTACAGTTGGCACTATGCATTGGGGCAGGTAGCGTTCTCCTGGCATCCGCCAAACTCAGATTAGTCCGTCGGACTGACAGATGGTGAAGCGTTCCCACTGCTCCAGATGTCCAATGTCGGCAAGCTTTACACCACTCCAGCCGACGCTAGGCATTGCGCATGGTGATCTTAGACTTGTGTGCGGCTGTTCGGCCATGGAAACCCATTTCATGAAGCTCCCGACGAACAGTTCTTGTGCTGACGTTGCTTCCAGAGGCAGTTTGGAACTCAGTAGTGAGTGTTGCAACCGAAGACAGACAATTTTTACGCGCTACTTGCTTCAGCACTCGGCGGTCCCGTTCCGTGAGCTTGCGTGGCCTACGCTGAGCTGTTGTTGCTCCTAGACGTTTCCACTTCACAATAACAGCACTTACAGTTGACCGGGGCAGCTCTAGCAGGGCAGCTCTAGCAGGGCAGCTCTAGCTGGGCAGAAATTTGACGTACTGACTTGTTTGGAAAGGTGGCATCCTATGACGGTGCTACGTTGAAAGTCACTGAGCTCTTCAGTAATGCCAATGATTGTCTATGGAGATTGCATGGATGTGTGCTCAATTTATACACGTCAGTAACGAGTGTGGCTGAAATAGCCAAATCCACTAATTTGAAGGGGTGTCCACATACCTTTGTGTATATAGTGTATGACACATTCAACTCTCCATTCAGTTAACAGAAGCTATTGAAAATTGAATAGGACCTTGTTAAGGGGTCTGGTAAAACAACAGAGCATGTTCATCACTGAATCTTCAATGAGCAACAAGCCAATCAAATGTCCCGTTGCCTGTAGCAACGTGCCTCAGAATGAATAACATTGTTTCAAAGCGCTACCTTACAGTGAAAGATCTTGGTGCTGCATCAAAAAGCTGTATATTGTCAATGTGGAGACTTCTGCATTATTTCAGCGTTCACCGAATCCCAGGGACCCACTATGGATTATTGGATTCTCTCTGTGACAGAAGCACAAGTTTAAAGCATGAAATGGACTAGCCCGTTCTCCTTGCCACATTTAGGGTTTACCGCCCACTAACTACAGTTGCTGGTTTTCCTCAGGCCTACCCCCCACTTTCAAAGAACAGCTGAGGAACATGGAAGTTGAGGAGGGTAAGACTGTGACGCTACACTGTGAGCTGTCTAAACCTGCATCCTCAGTGGAGTGGAAGAGGGGAGCACAGCTGTTGAAGAATGTAGACAAGTACCAGATGAAGAAGAAAGATTTACTGGTGGAATTGAAGATTATCGATGCTAATCTGGAAGACAGTGGGGTTTACACCTGCATTTGTGGTGAACAAAAGACCACAGCCACTGTTACAATAAATGGTGGGTATATTTTGGTTATATTATGGAGATGTTGGAGAAAGCTTGAATATTGCATTTGGCAAATAGACTGTATATTTCATCAGAAAGACACAAATGCTTTCAATTCCAGTTGCTTTTAATAAATAAGGGAAATGTAGGTTTCATAAAGGTTTGACAGCCCTCTACTATGGCGTCTTTCAGCACGCCCCTTCACATTTATAGAAGAGCTGAGGAACGTTCAGGTTGAGGAGGGCAACAATGTGACATTGCGCTGCGAGCTCTCTAAACCAGGGATGTTGGTAGAATGGATGAGAGGAACAGATCTGCTGCGGAACGGAGAGAAGTTCCAGATGAAGCAGAAACACGCAACGTTGGAGCTGATCATCAGGAAAACCATACCTGAGGACAGTGGAGTCTACAGCTGCGTGGTGGAAGACCAGAAAACGTTTGCCACCATCGTTATCACTGGTAGGAGGAGAAACACTGTTGAATAATATGTGCAATCCTAGAAGCAGTTGATGTCACAATATGTGTTTCTATCCTTCAGCCGTCCCAGTCACTTTCAAGCAGAAACTAAAGAACCAAGAGGCCCTGGAGGAGGGCAGTGTGACGTTGCGCTGCGAGCTTTCTAAATCAGGAGTCTCTGTGGAATGGCTGAAGGGAGAGGAGCTGCTGAGGGAAGGGGAGAGGTACCAGATGAAACAGGAAGGGAAGACTGCTGAGATGGTCATCAGGAACGTGGTCCTGCAGGACGCTGGGGAGTATAGCTGTGTCACCGCCTGCAACGTCAAGACAACAGCTGACATCAAAGTTAGGGGTATGGTCTTTGCTAATGTGTACTACATACTAATATATTGATATACTGTTTATTCTTCTAAGGTTGTTGGCAAGTGTGTTATTCTGAAAATCTAAATATCTTTGAATATCATTTCTGGATTGTGCATTGGATGACACCAAGTACATTTTCCACAAGGGGACATGGAGGGATACACATGAGATTAATCATGACGCCTTCCTGTCAAATAATCTGTCAGAGTATGGATAGAAATCCAAGCAGTTGAGCCAGATAATGTCTCAGTCTTAAATACATATTCTTCTCAGCCCTCCCTGTAACATTCACACAAGAGGTCCAGAACACGATGATCAAAGAGGGGGACAGTGGGGAGTTCTGGTGTGAGCTCTCCAAGCCTGGAGCCCCAGTGGACTGGAGGAAGGGGAGAGTCATCCTGAAGTCTGGAGACAAATATGAGATAAAGCAGGAGGGACGCATCACTAAACTGTTCATCCATGACGTGGACGAGAGTGACGCTGGGAAATACACCTGCAAGACTAAAGACGCCCAGTCAACTGCTGAGCTGACCGTGAAGGGTGAGTCACACTGATGATAGTACTACACTTTGTATAACATTTGTATCATCCCAGTTGTTGTTATATGTATGCAACAACAATATAGTGTATAAATACCAGAGATGTGTTATAACATGTACTTTGGATCTGCTTGCAGTTTCTTATATTTCATGGGTCCATGCAATCCCTCTTAGTTTGACACGTTTCCACTATAGGGACTTTAGTTTGTACATGTTTTAGAGTCGACAATTTATTTGTTTGCTGTCCCCAGCTCCTCCCATCACGTTCAAGGTGAAGTTGAAGAACCAGGAAGTTGAGGAGGAGAACAGTGTGACGTTATTCTGCGAGCTCTCTAAACCAGGACTGATGGCAGAGTGGAGGAAGGGAGAGGAGCTGCTGAAGAATGGAGTGAGGTACCAGATAAAGAAGAGAGAGGCAACGATGGAACTGACCATCAGGAAAGCAGTGCTCGAGGACACCGGATTCTATAGCTGTGTTTACGCAGAAGCCAAAACCACCGCCACTGTCAACATCATCGGTAAGAAGAGATGCTCTTGGTTTCTTAAGGGGAGGTCATGTATTTTATTATAGTAAATAAAGAAAAAAGGTAATTTAGGAGGACGGGCACCCTCTGTTCAGCCTGGTTTCTGTTAAAGGGATATTTCACTCAAAAACAATAATTTGCTTACTTTTGCTGCTCTGTACTGAAAGTGCTCTATCTCTTCAAATCAATTGCTGACATGCATACTTTTTTTGTGATTGAATTAACATTGGTATCTTTGTGACATCTTTGTAAAAGTACTAAAAATGATTGGTTTTGATCTCATGTCCTCAGCCATACCTGTCACCTTCAAAATGGGTCTGAAGAACCAAGAGGCCCCAGAGGGGGGCATCGTGAAGCTGTGCTGTGAGCTGTCTAAGGCTGGGGTCCCGGTGGAGTGGTGGAAAGGGGAGGAGGAGGTGAGCCCTGGAGGAAGATACCAGATGAAGCTGGAGGGAAAGATAGCGGAGATGCACATCAAGAACATCCAACCAGAGGACGTGGGGGAGTACAGCTGTATATTCGGAGATCAGAAGACTACTGCTGAAGTCAACGTGAGAGGTACTGTACATGTTACTGTTGTCTGGCTGTCATTTCTGTTGAATAGGAAAGGATGGGCCTCCCCAACAACTGTACCAAACTGTAATAGAATACACAATAAAGCAAGAGATCAATGCAGCTGGTCTCTCTATGAATAAAACAATACATATCTATTCTAGAACAGTGTTTTTTCATAACAGACAAATTGTAACATATACAGTATCGTACTGTATAGGTAGCATAGTGCAATGGCCCCGAAGCACAATACATTTTCTGATGATGTCCATCTCTGGTCCGGACAGCTGCTGCATCAGTCTTCTTTGAGAAGGAGCTGGAGAGCAAGGTGGTGATGGAGGGGAAGTCTGTGGTCCTTTCCTGTGAGGTCTCCAGTGTTACCGTCCCCGTCACCTGGAGGAAGGACTCCTGCCTGGTCACAGATGGGGAGAGGTTCACTTTGAAGAAGAAAGGCTCTGTCCACACCCTGGAGATCAGGATGTTGAGTCTGGAGGACGCTGGGGAGTACAGCTGCATCACCAGAGGAAAGAAGACCACAGCCATGCTGGTTGTGAAAGGTAGGCCAACCCCATCCTACACTCTTAGAAAAAAGATTTCCAAAAGGGTTCTTCTGCTGTCCACATAGGATAACACTTTTTGGCTCCACGTAGAACCCTTTTTGGTTTCAGGTAGAATGGGCTACAAGACCATCGCCAAGCAGCTTGGTGAGAAGGTGACAACAGTTGGTGCGATTATTCGCAAATGGAAGAAACACAAAAGAACTGTCAATCTCCCTCGGCCTTGGGCTCCATGCAAGATCTCACCTCGTGGAGTTGCAATGATCATGAGAACGGTGAGGAAACAGCCCAGAACTACACGGGAGGATCTTGTCAATGATCTCAAGGCAGCTGGGACCATAGTCACCAAGAAAACAATTGGTAACACACTACGCCGTGAAGGACTGAAATCCTGCAGCGCCCACAAGGTCCCCCTGCTCAAGAAAGCACATATACAGGACCGTCTGAAGTTTGCCAATGAACATCTGAATGATTCAGGGGAGAACTGGGTGAAAGTGTTGTGGTCAGATGAGACCAAAATCGAGCTCTTTGGCATCAACTCAACTCGCCGTGTTTGAGGAGGAGGAATGCTGCCTATGACCCCAAGAACACCATCCCCCCGTCAAACATGGAAGTGGAAACATTATGCTTTGGGGGTGTTTTTCTGCTAAGGGGACAGGACAACTTCATCGCATCAAAGGGACGATGGACGGGGCCATGTACCGTCAAATCTTGGGTGAGAACCTTGACAATGGGTCGTGGATGGGTATTCCAGCATGACAATGACCCAAAACACACGTCCAAGGCAACAAAGGAGTGTTATGACTTAACTGGATAGAACCCAAATGCAGACAAGTACACCAAGCCAGATAAGATTTAACAGGTTTATTATAATGTTCAATCGTCCAGGTTTCCAATTAATGGGGAAGAGCAAGTCCAGGTTACAGGGAGGGTAACAGATCCAGGTCAGGGCAGGTGTGGTACCGTAATGTCCTAGTGTCCGTGGTGAGTCCAAAGGAGAGGTCCGATAGTGGAGAGCAGGATGGTGGTGGCAGGAGTGAAGCGGAGGCAGGAGTCAGGTTCCAAATATCTGTGGCACAGGAGAAAAAGTAAATAGACAGGCCAAAAACACAAGAGCGAAAACAGACAGGTTGAGTCGGCAGCGAGACTAACATGGTCGTCTTGACTCTGATCTGACGATGAGTGGAAAGTTTGACCGGGTCTTAAAGGCTGAGGTGATTATGGTGAATGAGCTGCAGCTGGAACCCTGACTCCCGCACACCAGACTTCACTCCTGCAATCAAGGACAGACAGAGGGGAGGGGGAGAGCAGAGAGAGAGCTACCTAGCAGCAGTAGGCCTAACAAGGAGTGGCTCAAGAAGAAGCACATTAAGGTCCTGGAGTGGCCTAGCCAGTCTCCAGACCTTAATCCCATAGAAAATATGTGGAGGGAGCTGAAGGTTCGAGTTGCCAAACGTCAGCCTCGAAACCTTAATGACTTGGAGAAGATCTGCAAAGAGGAGTGGAACAAAATCCCTCCTGAGATGTGTGCAAACCTGGTGGCCAACTACAAGAAACGTCTGACCTCTGTGATTGCCAACAAGAGTTTTGCCACCAAGTACTAAGTCATGTTTTGCAGAGGGGTCAAATACTTATTTCCCTCATCAATTTATAACATTTTTTACATGGGTTTTTCTGGATTTTTTTGTTGTTATTCTGTCTCTCACTGTTCAAATAAATCTACCATTAAAATTATAGACTGATCATGTCTTTGTCAGTGGGCAAACATACAAAATCAGCAGGGGAACAAATACTTTTTTCCCTCACTGTATCCTCATTGAACTCACAAAATTGAAGGAGCACAATGAGTCTTTGTTTGGCCTCTTTTGATATGTGATTATTGTGGGTAGAGGATGGGTTATACCTTGATGGAAGACCCTTACTTCTTTGCATTCTTTTGAATGGGTAATCTCCTCTCTGTATGGCTTGCTACATTATCCTGTAAATAGTTATCTTGATCCTAACCCTTTCTCTATAGAGCGTGTGAAGATCTTGTCAGGACTGAAGGACATTAAGATCATGGCCGGGCAGGACGCAGTGTTTGTGTGTGAGCTGTCCCACAAGGAGGTAAGCGAGGGCGAGTGGTGGCTGGGCTCAAGCCCCCTGCAGAAGAACGAAATGAACCAGATGAGCTGCCTGGGCCACCAGCACCGCCTGGTCCTGACCATGACCACACCAGAGGAGACCGGGACCGTGACCTTCGTGGTCGGGGAAGAAAAGACCTCCGCCCAGTTGCTGGTGCTCCCCAAACCCAAAGGTTTGCCACCTCTTTTAATATTGTTGTAGTACAATGTGAATTATACACTTTAATCACTAATATGTGTATGCAATTAGAAGGTGTATACTTAGTTTACTCTGTTTCCTGTCTTTGTCAGTACTCATTGAAAAGAAGCCCTGGGACATCGTCATCATGGAAGGGGAGACGGCCACATTATCCTGTATGACATCTGACCTCTTTACCCCTGTCACATGGAGAAGGAACAATATGCCCCTCCTGAACGGAGACAAGTATGAAACGCGTAAGGAGGGAAAACTCAACCTGCTGCTCATCCATGAGACCGAACCAGGGGACTCTGGGATATACTTCTGTGACACTGGAGACATGCAGAGCAGCGCCAATCTGACTGTCAACGGTAAGGATTTCCAATCATTTAGAGAGAAGTAACATAACCAGGAACTCAGGTTTATCTCAGAGGGTTACAATATTCGGAATTCTCTCTTTGCATTACTCACCCTAACATTGATCAAATGGAACATAGATTTCCAATTCCCTAATTGTCTCCTGTCTCTCCAGAGGTGCCTCCATACTTTGAGGAGGAGCTGCAGGCTGTGGAGGCTGAGGAGGGGGGAACGGCCTTCCTGACCTGTGAGCTGTCTAAGCCTGCAGTCCCAGTCCAGTGGAGGAAGGGCCGGCTACCTCTCAGGCCCAACAGGAAGTACCAGATGAAGCAGGACGGCTGTGTGTTTCAGCTACACATCCTGGAGCTGAAGAAAGAAGACGGTGGGAGCTACACGTTCCAGGCAGGTGGTATAGAAACCACAGCCTCTGTGTCTGTGAAAGGTATGTGTGGTTGGTTGTGTAATATCACACACCTGCTGCATGTAGAGAAATCCCATCTCATCACAGTCATATTCAGTGCAAGCAAAAAATAATAAACACTAGTATTTGTGTAGTGTACACATTTTTGGAGAGTTGTTTTTCCTCTGTGTCCAGTTAAGGTACTCATTGAGAAGAAGCCACGGGACACCGTCATCATGGAAGGGGAGACGGCCACCCTATCCTGTTCGACCTCTGACCTCGTTACCCCGGTCACATGGAAAAGGAACAGGATGCCCCTCCTGAACGGAGCCAAGTATGAGATGCGTAAGGAGGGCAAACTCAACTTGCTGCTCATCCATGAGACCGAACCAGGGGACTCTGGGATATACTCCTGTGACACTGGAGACATGCAGAGCAGCGCCAATCTGACTGTCAACGGTAAGGATTTCCAATCATTTAGAGAGAAGTAACATAACCAGGAACTCAGGTTTATCTCAGGGTTTACAATATTTGGAATTCTCTCTTTGCATTACTCACCCTAACATTGATCAAATGGAACACAGAATTCCAATTCCCCAATTGTCTCCCGTCTCTCCAGAGGTGCCTCCATACTTTGAGGTGGAGCTGCAGGCTGTGGAGGCTGAGGAGGGGGGCACGGCCTTCCTGGCCTGTGAGCTGTCTAAGCCTGCAGTCCCAGTCCAGTGGAGGAAGGGCCGGCTACCTCTCAGGCCCAACAGGAAGTACCAGATGAAGCAGGACGGCTGTGTGTTTCAGCTACACATCCTGGAGCTGAAGAAAGAAGACAGTGGGAGTTACACGTGCCAGGCAGGTGGTATAGAGACTACCGCCTCTGTGGCTGTAAAGCCTTTCTCAGATAAGGCAGATCCTCCCAAGGCAATTCCTCCCACAAAGGCTCCCACGAAGGCTGCCTCTCCCACTTCTCCACCCGAAGAGGCCCAACCTGGCCCTCTAGAGCGAAGGAAACGGGGCATGACCCGGTCATCCATTGTGGAGTCAGAGGAAGACCTGGAGCCTGAGGAAAAAGAGACAGCGGTAGACCAGCAGGAGAAACAGTCATTAAGGTCTATGGGTAAGGAGACTAAGGTAGACCAGCAGGAGAAACAGTCATTTGGGTCTATGGGAAAGGAGACAGCGGTAGACCTGCAGGAGAAACAGTCATTAAGGTCTATGGGTAAAGAGACAGCGGTAGACCAGCAGGAGAAACAGTCATTAAGGTCTATGGGTAAAGAGACAGCGGTAGACCAGCAGGAGAAACAGTCATTAAGGTCTATGGGTAAGGAGACTAAGGTAGACCAGCAGGAGAAACAGAAAGTGAAACAGCCAGTAGGTATGGTGAAGGATAACATAGCAGAAAATACACAGAAACAGCTAGTACCACCACTGAGGTCTAAAGGGAAGGAGGCAACTATGGTGAAGGAGACACAGATGGACCAGCCGGAGAAAGAGCCAGTGAAACAGCCAGTCAGAGCTATAGTGACGGACACAGAGGAGAAAAAGTATATGGTGAAGAAGACTGAAATAGACCTGTTGGAGAAAAAGATGAAAGAGGTTGGGGTACACCAGGTGGTGAAACAACCAGTTCCACCAGTGAGACGAGCATCTATAGTGTCGGATGCTGGGATAGACGAGATGAGGAAGCAGCCAGTTCCACCATCAAGAAGAGCATCTGTTGTTTCAGTTTCGGATGCTGGGGTAGACAAGGTGAGGAAACAGCCAGTTCCACCATCAAGAAGAGCATCTGTTGTTTCAGTTTCGGATGCTGGGATAGACGAGATGAGGAAGCAGCCAGTTCCACCATCAAGAAGAGCATCTGTTGTTTCAGTTTCGGATGCTGGGGTAGACAAGGTGAGGAAACAGCCAGTTCCACCAGTGAGAAAAGCATCTGTTGTTTCAGTTTCGGATGCTGGGGTAGACGAGATGAGGAAGCAGCCAGTTCAACCATCAAGAAGAGCATCTGTTGTTTCAGTTTCGGATGCTGGGGTAGACGAGGTGAGGAAACAGCCAGTTCCACCAGTGAGAAGAGCATCTGTTGTTTCAGTTTCAGATGCTGGGATAGACGAGATGAGGAAGCAGCCAGTTCCACCATCAAGAAGAGCATCTGTTGTTTCAGTTTCGGATGCTGGGATAGACGAGATGAGGAAGCAGCCAGTTCCACCATCAAGAAGAGCATCTGTTGTTTCAGTTTCGGATGCTGGGGTAGACAAGGTGAGGAAACAGCCAGTTCCACCAGTGAGAAGAGCATCTGTTGTTTCAGTTTCGGATGCTGGGGTAGACGAGGTGAGGAAACAGCCAGTTCCACCAGTGAGAAGAGCATCTGTTGTTTCAGTTTCGAATGCTGGGGTAGACGAGGTGAGGAAACAGCCAGTTCCACCAGTGAGAAGAGCATCTGTTGTTTCAGTTTCGGATGCTGGGGTAGACGAGGTGAGGAAACAGCCAGTTCCACCAGTGAGACGAGCATCTATAGTGTCGGATGCTGGGGTAGACAAGGTGAGGAATCAGCCAGTTCCACCAGTGAGACGAGCATCTATAGTGTCGGATGCTGGGGAAGACAAGGTGAGGAATCAGCCAGTTCCACCAGCGAGACGAGCACCTATAGTGTCGGATGCTGGGATAGAGCAGATAGTTAGATCTAAAAAGGAGGAGATAGATATAGAAGTAGACCATCAGAACAAACAGTCAGTGAAGTCTATGGTGAAGGAAACAGATGAAGACCATCAGGAGAAACAGCCAGTGAAGTATATGGTGAAGGAGACAGAGGTAGACCAGAGGGACAAACAGCCAGTAAGGTTTACAGTACAGGAGACGGAAAAACCCAAGATTGCGGAGGATGGTAACCAACTCCATATCTCAGTGGGTGAGTCCTTCACTGAGGCTCCCACCCAGGTAAGCGTCAACCAGAAGACCAGCAAGCCTGTAGTTGCTGTTGCTGGAGTTCCCAAGGGGCTCCAGATGACTAAGCAATTTGACGAGACTGAACCTGACATGGAAATCAGTGTTGAGGACGAACCTGAAATGCTGGAAGCCGCCATCAAGATCCAGGCAGCTTTCAAAGGATACAAGACTCGCAAAGATATGCGGCCAGTCTTCAAGCAGGTGTTCAAGAACCAGAACGTTGAGACCAACGGTACCATCCAGCTAGCATGCATGGTGGAAGGGAAGCCCAACGCAGTACGCTGGCTGAAGAATGGCCAGCAGATCATAGGAGACCAACGCCACCGCATGAACACCTCAGAGGATGGTGTCTGCACACTGGTGATCATCAACATGTCAGCCATAGACACTGGGGTCTATACGTGTGAGGTGGTCAACAAGTTTGGTGTGACCTCATATAATGGCAACATTACCGTGGGTCAACCTCAAAAGCCTCCATCCTCCACCCAGAGGCCTGCAGCCCCAGCACAGCCCTCCACCCCTTCTGTGCACCCAGTCCTGGCCTCTGTTGGCCCTCTCCAGCCAGCCCAGACCTCCACCTCTGGAAAGGAGACTATGGGTTCTGTGGAGAGCGAGGGGATCTCACTGTGGCAGGCCTACAACCTGACCGAGGAGGATTCCCGCATGACCCTGCAGGAGAGGAGGAGGGCCTCCCTCATCGCCGCCAGCTCTAGTAAGTCAAGTTATGAACATGATAGATGTCCTTAGTATGTGAACTGGGTCATATGCAGTAATTGGGTCTGCCTTTGCTAGCTGTTTGGTTGATAGACTGAAAATAATATTTTATTTTCTCTGTCTTTCCAGTGTCTAGTCCATCTGACTACGACACAGCTCCAGATTTCATAGAGCCTGTTGACATCATCCCCAAAGATCACCCCAGGTAAGACCTTCACAATCTTCATTTAACATCCAAAGACTTTTAACTATATACCCCCTTTCTGTGGTATTATCGTGTTAATAAGCAAAAAATATTCCCACAGGGAAAAGGAAGCCATTAAGTCAGAAGACCAGTTACAACATAAGGTTAAAGAACAGAAAGTCACCCCTCAACCACCAAAGAGGCATTTGAAGGTCAAAGGTCAGCCATATTTTGATGTGTTTGTTAGATCTAAATATTGAGTTGTTGCCTTTCGTGGTGATGATATTTGTTGTACTGAACCCATTTACTTTAATACTGATTGCTGTAAATGTTATATTAATGTAATGTCATACACATGTAATGGGTTTCCTTCTGAGTTGTGTTGTGTAGTGTAAAGACAGTGTTGTAGACGTAGAAAATAACAGGTATAAGTACCTCTCAACAGCACCTGCATCTTCTCCAATAGGAGAGGACACTGTGATGCATAGACCTATACAACTATTATACATTATAATATGAAACTAAAAAGAATGCAACCCATTGTAATTATCAAATAGAAAAGGGTAACATACCTGCAGTGAGTTATAATAATAAAATGTTTATAAATAAATAAATAGTAAAATAAATAAATAAAATGTTATCTGCACCTGTTAGTGCAGATAACATTTTAGTAAATCAATATCATGTTCCGTGCCTGACCAATGAGAATGCAATGTACAGCTAGCATAGACTCTTAAAGGGAGTGCCCCTAATCTCAGCTTGTTACCTGTATAAAAGACACCTGTCCACAGAAGCAATCAATCAATCAGATTCCAAACTCTCCACCATGGCCAAGACCAAAGAGCTCTCCAAGGATGTCAGGGACAAGATTATAGACCTACACAAGGCTGGAATGGGCTACAAGACCATCGCCAAGCAGCTTGGTGAGAAGGTGACAACAGTTGGTGTGATTATTCGCAAATGGAAGAAACACAAAAGAACTGTCAATCTCCCTCGGCCTGGGGCTCCATGCAAGATCTCACCTCGTGGAGTTGCAATGATCATGAGAACGGTGAGGAATCAGATCAGAACTACATGGGAGGATCTTGTCAATGATCTCAAGGCAGCTGGGACCATAGTCACCAAGAAAACAATTGGTAACACACTACGCTGTGAAGGACTGAAATCCTGCAGCGCCCGCAAGGTCCCCCTGCTCAAGAAAGCACATATACAGGCCCGTCTGAAGTTTGCCAATGAACATCTGAATGATTCAGAGGAGAACTGGATGAAAGTGTTTTGGTCAGATGAGACCAAAATCGAGCTCTTTGGCATCAACTCAACTCGCAGTGTTTGGAGGAGGAGGAATGCTGCCTATGACCCCAAGAACACCATCCCCACCGTCAAACATGGAGGTGGAAACATTATTCTTTGGGGGTGTTTTTCTTCACCGCATCAAAGGGACGATGGACGGGGCCATGTACCGTCAAATCTTGGGTGAGAACCTCCTTCCATCAGCCAGGGCATTGAAAATGGGTTGTGGATGGGTATTCCAGCATGAAAATGACCCAAAACACACGGCCAAGGCAACAAAGGAGTGGCTCAAGAAGAAGCACATTAAGGTCCTGGAGTGGCCTAGCCAGTCTCTAGACCTTAATCGCATAGAAAATATGTGGAGGGAGCTGAAGGTTCGAGTTGCCAAACGTCAGGCTCGAAACCTTAATAACTTCGAGAAGATCTGCAAGGAGGAGTGGGACAAAATCCCTCCTGAGATGTGTGCAAACCTGGTGGCCAACTACAAGAAACGTCTTACCTCTGTGATTGCCAACAAGGGTTTTGCCACCAAGTACTAAGTCACGTTTTGCAGAGGGGTCAAATACTTATTTCCCTCAATAAAATGCAAATCAATTTATAAAAGTTTTGACATGCGTTTTACTGGATTTTTTTGTTGTTATTCTGTCTCTCACTGTTGAAATAAACCTACCATTAAAATTATAGACTGATCATGTCTTTGTCAGTGGGCAAACATACAAAATCAGCAGGGGATCAAATACTTTTTTCCCTCACTGTACAGTACACATTACTCAATGACCTTGCACGCTTCTGTCCACTTCTCTCACTTCCTCTGAATGTCCCACCAGCTACTGATGCCAAGCTGAGGACTCTGTCCCCGAAACACCACCGTGCCCACACGTCTGCTGCTCTTACAGGCTCTGGCTCAGAGTCAGATGGTGACGAGGACAGAAAAGAGGTACAGTATGGTCTACTTTGGAATAACTTCCTCATTGCTTCCCCCCAGAGTGTCAGGACAGCCGTTTAACGTCCCATCCAAAAGACGGCACCCTACACAGGGCAATGTCCCCAATCACTGCCCTGGGACATTGGGATATTTTTTTTTATAGAGCAGAGGAAAGAGTGCCTCCTACTGACCCTCCAACACCACTTCCAGCAGCATCTGGTCTCCCAACCAGGACCAACACTGCTTAGCTTCAGAGGCAAGCCAGCAGTGGGATGCAGGGTGGAATGCTGCTGGATTATACCATAAGCAATCATTTATGATCAAATATACAAATGTGTAACATTTGGGGATATAACGTTTTGGAACTAAACTCTTACATTTTTACCAACTTCCACAGACATTTGCTATCTATGTGGCCAGAGCTAATTGCAGCTCTCAACACAGTGGCAATAAGGCAAGCTTTGTGTTGAAGGAGGGCCAGTACGTGGAGGTCTTGGACTCTGTCCACCCTGAGACGTGGCTGGTCCGCACCAAACCCTCCAAGAACACCCCCTCACGCCAAGGATGGGTCTCTCCTGCATACCTGGAGAAGAAGAGAACGGTATGAGGTCCTCAGTATGTCCTGGTAAAGGATGAGCATAAAATGGACAAAATTGGTATATTTTGACCATGCAATCAACCACTTTTTATGTTTCTTCATATAAACAGGATTTGTCAGAGGTAATGATAATATTTGACTATAGATCAATTCAAACTTTTAGCATTTTGTAAAGCAGACATTCCCACAAGTGAGGACACCACAACAGGAGATGGATGGATCAGGTTCTACAGGGGAGGAGTACAGGAGAACAGTAAGGTGAGTGAATGAATATTGCATGATCACATTGAGAGTTCAGCATATTTGATTGATATAGTCTCTTAAAGAGTACTGTCAATATTCCATGTGATATTCCTTCTGTCTTCAGCCAATTGATCCAGGGGCTGATTGATGGGGAGGAAGAGTTTGTGAAGGTGATGAAGGACTTTACGTCCCACTACCTGCACCACTTAGACACCAGCCCTGATGTCCCCATCAACATCATCAACCAGAAAGAAACCATCTTCCGCAATATCAAGGACATCATGGCTTTACATGAGAGGTGAGAACGTCACAACTGTTCTCTTTGTCGAGAATAAAATGTCACAACTGTTCTCTTTGTCAAATAAAACGAGGTAAATACTGTCCTTATTTTCCTATCCCCTCCTCAGGTCTATTCTGCCTAGGCTGAGCGAGTGTTCTACTGATGATGATGTGGCCATGCACCTGGTCAAACATGCAGAGGACTTTGAGAAGTATCTGCAGTACATGATGGGCCAAACACAGGCAGAGACCTGTGTGACTGACAAGACCATCCAGCAGTACTTCAAGGTATGCAATCAGATCATTTACCATAATGCACAAAAATCAACCCCCACACCCAGAAGAAAAACAATTTGCTCTCACATGCTCCCAGTTTTCCATGCTGACATTCACGTGTATTGACCTTTGTGTTCCAGCATAACACGGAGACAGAGCCTGAGCACCCCAAAACTGCAGTGCTGGATGTCATCACCTTCTTACAGAGACCAGTGGAGAGGATTCAGACCTACCAGGCCTTACTCAAGGTCAGTGCTCGTTATCCATTTCTAAGTGTCCATTTTGAGACCTTTAATCCATGTATTTCTCCCGGTGTGTGTGTGTGTGTTTGTATGTTGACAGGAGCTGATCAAGAACAAGGCTAAGTGTGGGAAAAGCTGCCGTCTGCTGGAGGATGCATTCTCCATGGTGTCCTGTCTGCCCTGGCGTTCTGACAACCTGCACCAGGTGTCTCTGATTGAGAACTACCCTGCCCCACTCACTGCACTGGGGGAACCCGTCCGCCAGGTAACTCACCCCTGACCCACAAAGAGTGGTTCAGCTCTACCTGGGGATGTTGTTAGCTCCAGAGAAGGGATAGATGACTACATCAACGTGTCCAGAATACCTGAGGTCAGGTGTCCCGTAACAACCCATGACAGTTGTTGCTTCAAGGCTGAGGGGGACACGGCATCATTGAAAGTTTAAATGTCAATTAACTGACAGGATAACACTTGCAATGCACCATCTTGATTGCATGTTTGAGATGTGATTGAAGTAATTTCTTCATTGATAATGCAGCTCCATCTGAAGCTTTGATACCAGGTCTTTCCTCCTCCCAGGGTTCCCTCACTGTGTGGGAGGAGTCTCCTGAGATCAAGACGTCCTCCAGGTGGCACCAGAGGCAGGTGTTTCTCTTTAAGGACTGTGTCCTCCTCTGTAAGCTCAAGAGAGACCCCTGCATGAACTCTGACACCTATGCCTTCAAGAACAAGATGAAGGTAAAACCTGGCCCTCATCCTTTGCCTCAGTCAATGTAAATGTATAGTCCAAATCCCTGCAGCATACATATTGTGTTACCGACTGGGGTTCGAACCTAGGTCTCCTGTGAGCCACAAGACTTTGATATCCCTCTGAGCTAAAACCTATGCATTAGCTTGGGGAGATAAGTGTTCAGGTTTCAGGCAAGGCTACTCATCATATGAGTGTGGCAAGGTTATTATAGTTTTTTTTTTTTATATTCGTTTTTATTTCTATTAGTTTTATGATTTTAATTTGAGATTCAGTTAAGTTTCAGTTAGTTTTCAGACCTTATTACATTTTTGTTTTATAAAAGTATTTATATTTCGTTTTTATATTATTTAGTTTCAGTTTACTAAATTGTTTTTTCATAATTAGTTTTAGTTTTAGCTTGAGTTTTTGTTTACAATAATAACCTTGGAGTGTGGTTTCCCGAACCATCTACATTGCACATAGAGTACCTTCCTTGTAATATGAGCGTCTCCCCCTCCCCAGCTGAATGATGTGGAGGTGAAGGAGACAGTGGGGGGAGATGAGAAGTCCTGGGAGCTGTGGCACGAGCACCGCGGCTCAGTGAGGAGGTACACACTGCAGGGTCACTCCACCCTGCTCAAGCTGTCCTGGCTCAAAGACCTGAGAGAGCTGCAGCAATGCTCCAGCCTGACTGCCTGCAGTGAGTTCCTCTATGACTATGTATTTTGGCACTGTCCATTGTTAAGTCTGCCTAATACTATCACTGGTTCGGTCCTCTGTTAACTCTATCCAATGTTAGCTCTGGGCAGCAGTAGGTCTATGCTGCCTGGTCTCCTCCCATCATTACAGTAGTCTTGTGGGTGTTTCTTTAGGTCCACCAGAGTTCGAAGTTCTCCTGGCTGACTGCACAACAAAGATCGGGCAGACAATCAAACTGACCTGCAAAGTCAAAGGAACACCCAAACCAGTGTTCAGCTGGTTCAAAGGTAAAAGAGTGAGCAGCATAGTAATCCATTTTTGTTTTTTTACAAACAAAAAGGCAAGAAAAAAAGAAAACACTTTTTAAACAGCAGTACAGTCTCTTTGACGCTCTGAAATGACATCACTTCCCCAGACGGCCTGGCCCTAGAGGACAGCCCCCACCACATCATCACTGCAGACCGGGCAGGCACCTGGTGTCTCATCCTGGACGGGGTCACTCCCAAGGACTCTGGACAGTACATGTGCTACGCCTCCAGCTCCGTGGGTCATGCTAGCACACTGGCCAAGATAGTGGTGGACGGTGAGTCAACAGCCACTTACAGTAGCTTTGGTGCTGAACTCAGCACCCACAGTCAGGGATGGCAGAGCATTCAGTCCATAGAGATCCTACTACATTTTCTATGTATTATTTATTATTGAATGTGTTAGTGTATTCTAATTCCAAGTTCTATGATTCAGTCTACCTCACTCATAAATCACATGCTGATGAAGATTAGGTCTTAAATACACTGAAATACACAAATCGTACACATATGATTGTACTATCTAACATGTTACGGTATACTCCATGTCCTATTCTGCAAAGATAATAAATAATGCGTAGACTGAAGGAACTCATTACTTCCTGTCGTACAGCACCCCCCAGGTTCATTACTAGGCTGCAGAGTGCATGTCTGCTGGAGGGAGAGGACGTCCAGTTTACCTGCTCCACACACAGCACACCGCTACCCCGAATCAGGTATGGTGCAGTAAATTGCGCTGGATCTACAGATGTAGTATCTTAATTTGATCACTGTGTTGCAGGACAACTTTAAAACTTTAAGTGTATTTGAGGTTTAAAAAGTATTCTGAAATTTGTAATTTCCCTTTTGAAATGTCAGACTTGATTTTCCCTCACGAAACATGTATCAACCCCTACAAAAATGTCCATTAATTATAATCCATATAATGGATTGTAGCAAACTGGCTCAAATTAAGATCCTACATCTGTACTCAGTATTCCCCTACTATGTCATGTGAACCTGGGCTCCCAGGATTCAATGTTTGAACCATACGTGTTAAGATTCCCATTGAGATCCACCCACACGTTGTTATTTGGTTGTGTGCCCTGGCATGCTCTGGGCAGGTGGTTTAAGGATGGCAGAGAGCTGACAGACCAGAGGAAGTACCACATAGAGAGTGATGCCCGCAGTGGGATTCTCACTCTCACCATCATGAACCCTGGAGAGACAGACCTGGGACAGTATGAGTGTGAGGTATGCCTACAGGATATATATGAAATCCCCTTTATGTAGTTCATATGTAATGCTTCTTCATAACACGTAGGAATAACATTAAGGTACAATATACTGTTGCTTTTCTTCTAGGAGCTTTTGTGCACTGTTATAAATTAGTGAATTTAAAATGAGAAATCTTGTTATATTTCAGCTGTGGAACCAGTTGGGCAGTGCCAAGAGTAAAGCAGAGCTGTGCGCCGCCTTCACACAAGTGATTGACAGTCAGCCTGACCAACCACAGGTCCTCTTGACCAAAGGTAGGAGAGTTCCACCCAATCAAGGTAAATCTCCACCTCAGAGTAAGGAAGCAGGTTTTGATAAGAAGGCTATCTACACTATAAGACTGGTTAATAGGATGACAGTCTAATATATTCTAGGATAAAGACCCTACAGCTCCAGCTATACTGATTTCTCATGAGAGACAAGAATAAATCTTGTGTTATCCCAGTTTTATTCTGTGGACAATATACATTTAGTGTTAACTGACGAGGGATTAGGAAAGCACATGCCATGGTCATTCCTTAGTTTCACCTCACTTCACTTTTACCTCAAATCACTTCACTTTATCTCTGTTTTCACACTGTCAGTCATCATTGCCATTCCTCATTTTCAATTTGGATTGTCTCATTACCTAGGTTACCCTTTCTCACCCCTGAAACCATAAAAACTTCCAGTCATCTACATTAGATATCATACCAATCAACATAGATATCATACCATTCCTAGTTGTACATATTCATGAAAGACATTGATACACTTTAGTATTGGATGTTTTGATTTGTGTTTTCATAATGTTTCCATCTTTCAGAAATGAATAGTATTGGAACGGACCGGGTCATTTACCCCCCATTTGACTGATCTTGGTGGATTTCCAAAAGCTTTTCCAAACAGGAGAAATAAGGGGCCATAGCTCATTTACATCTAGGGGTGTTTCCCAGACACAGATTAAGCCTAGTTCTAGACTGAAAAGCACTTTAAATGGAGATTCTCCATTGATCTTGCTTCTTGGTCCAGGACTAGGCTTAATCTGTGCCCGGGAAACCACCCCTCAGAGTCCATATCAGGACCTACTTACGTTTAATCCATAACAAATACCTTTAACACATTTAAGTCACCAAGTACATTCAATTAGTTCATTTATTTAAAAAAAAATATGATAGATCACAGGCATTGCAGTATGTATAAATTGCTTTCCTTCATGAGCTATGATTTCACCTCTAAGTAGTTTTCCTTTAGGCTTTTGGACACCAATTGATCATGTGACTCCATCCATTCTCTGTAACCCTGCTCTCCATCCCACTTCCTATGTAGTCCCCCGAGCAGGAAGTACCTCACAGAACCTTCATCATGTAAGTCTTATCATGTTCCCAGTATCATGGACCCAGTGCATGTGGATGGGTCCTCCTCTCTCCTCTCCAACGCATGCCCAGTTAACTCTCCACTCCTACCCATACAAGATGGTCATGTGCTGGACGTCAGGCACCCCTTATGCCCCCCCCCCCCCCCCCCCGGGGAGTGGGCATGTGTCCATGTCCTCCTGTTCATGGGCTGATTTACAAACTATTGGGTGTCCATCAAGTCTGGAGGTAAGACGTGCACTGGTTATTATGTTCTAGAGGTAAGGGTACTGTACGTTCCTAATATTTGCTTTAATTTTGCACATTAAACATTTTTAAATAGACAGTTGTTAATGCCTCGACACGCTTCGCCTCCGTCACAAGTTAGCATGGCTTTAAAAAATATATTAAGTTTAAAGGTCAGCTAATGTGAAGTAATGATTTTGGATTATAAAACTCTAAGTGGACCTAAAAGCATCTGTCAGTCTGTGAGTGGTGTCATTGTGCTTCCTCCAGACTCAGAGGGCTGGTCCACTGCCATGGTGAAGCAATGGCTGCAGACAGACTTCAGCCCCACATCTATCATCAAAATGCTCTTCCAGCCTGGATACACTCAGCCGTGAGTCTACCTGACAGAACTGTGATACATTATCATACTACTGCATCGTCTCTCTCTCTATCCCAATATATGCACTGTCTCTATATCTATCCCAATATTTTCTCTACAGAGCTGAGGGTGGCCCAGAGGAAAGGGACCCCACCACCAGAGGCCACGTGGAGGTGCCACAGTTCCCCAATGATCTTGAGGAGAGACCTGAGGTTGAGGAGGAACTTTATGTCCCTGAGACCATACAGGAAATGACAACAGGTACTTGAACTGTACACACTCACACTGTAGTTCCTTTTTTTTGTTTTTGAAGTGGCTACTGTGCCTAAAACTTGAATAATCTTGCGGAATTACTTCACTTCCTGTTTCCTCAGCTCCTCCCGCCATTCAGGTGCCGGCAGAGGACCTGTGTGTGGAGTCTGGCCAATCAGCTACCTTCACCATCATCATCACAGGAAGGCCCACCCCCGAGATTCAGTGGTACAAGGTAGGGAAGCTTCAAACCAATGTGCCTTCTCAATCTAAGACCACCATCAACTGATTCACTGTTATAAATAACTTCAGACTAACCTTCATTATGAGATGCTCCATATAATTTCAGCATATCTGACACCGGACTAACCACACCCATTTATCAACCGAGCAGTAATCTATACTGAACAAAAATATAAACACAACATGCAACAAATTCAACAATTTTACTGAGTTACAGATCATGTAAGGAAATCAGTCAATTGAAATAAATTCATTAGGCACTAATCTATGGATTTCACATGACTGGGCAGGGGCACAGCCATGGGTGGGCCTGGGAGGGCATAGGCCCACCCATTTGGGAGCCAAGCCCACCCACTGGGGAGCCAGGCCCAGCCAATCAGAATTCGTTTTATTACAGAAATAAATACTCCTCAGTTTCATGAGCTGTTCGGGTGGCTGGTCTCAGACAATCCCGCTGGTGAAGAAGCCGGATGTGGAGGTCCTGGGCTGTTGTCATTACACGTGGTCTGCGGTTGTGAGGCTGGTTGGACATACTGCCAAATTCTCTAAAACAAAGTTGGAGGTGGCTTATGGTAGAGAAATGAACATTCAATTATCCGGCAATAGCTCTGATGGACATTCCTGCAGTCAGCATGCCCATTGCACGCTCCTTCAAAACCTGAGATATCTGTGGCATTGTGTTGAGTGACAAAACTGCACATTTTAGAGTGGCCTTTTGTTGTCCCCAGCACAAGGTGCACCTGTGTAATGATAATGCTGTTTAATCAGCTTCTTGATATGTCACACCTGTCAGGTGGATGGATTATCTTGGCAAAGGAGAAATGCTCACCTATAGGGTTGTAAACAAATTTGTGCACACAATTTGAGAGAAATACGCTTTTTGTGCGTGTGGAAAATGTCTGGGATCTTTTATTTCAGCTCATGAAACATGGGACCAGCACTTTACATGTTGCGTTTATATTTTTGTTCAGTATACATGGATACTGTTGCCTGTGTAATATTTGGTGTCCTCCTCTACTGTTGGGAGTCTGGGACCCCTGTGCTGTCGTAGAAGTTGTACCTTAGTACTGTGTCTCTCTCATATGATTGTAGGATGGAGAGGAGCTGTTGGCCAATGAGAATGTGGAGGTGGTCCAGAATGGTGCCCGCTGCTCTCTGACTGTGCTGTGCCCGGAGAGCGAGGACGGTGGCATCTACACCTGCTGGGCCTATAACAACTCAGGACACACCTCCTGTCAGGCTCAGCTCACAGTGGAGGAGGGTGAGGCCTCAGGACACACCTACGCAGTTTCTCAAAAGATTCCCATTCCCCTTGTACAGTAGTGCACAACTCTTTGCTAGATCCATACCACTGGGTACACACTGGTTGAATCAACGTTGTTTCCACATAATTTCAATGAAATTATGTTGAACCAACGTGGAATAGACGTTGAATTTACGTCTTTCTGTTTACTGTTCTTATTGTTACATTCATTCAAGCTTGCTGATACCAAAACTACGACAGTTTTAACCACTATATGCCTAGAAGATGTGCATCCTAATCCGAAACCAACATAACACCACAGACGTGATCTTCTCTGGCTGGACTACCTGTGACTGCATGACCATGATCCTCTTTTCTGTAGGTCCACTGGAGTCGCAGGAGAAGGAGGTGGAGCTTGGGAAGAGGAGGAAGCTGCTCTCTGTGTATGACGTCCATCAGGAGATAGGGAGGTAAATGCCGACTTTGTTGGGTATCCTATTTCACAAGTTGGCAGTCAATCTGCAACTGTGGAGGTGACGCTCCCTTTATCTGTGTCCCAATGATCTAAAATGGCTTCCATCCTTTGTCTCTTCTCCTTGTGTCTGTAGAGGCACATATGGGGTGGTGAAACGGGTTACCCACAGGAGGACTGGCGAGGGCTTTGCCGCCAAGTTCCTGCCCCTGAGGAGCAGTACAAGGACCAGGGCCTTCCAGGAGAGAGACCTGCTCTCCCGGTTGGCCCACCCCAGGGTGTCCTGTCTGCTGGACTTCTTCTCTACGCGCAGGACCCTGGTCCTGGTCACAGAAGTGTATCCTTCAACATGGCGCTTTTAGTCACTTCCACGTACAGTCCTCTGATGAAGACCTAAGAGTGGAAATGTAGTCATAATAAAACATGCTGTACTGTAGCTTGTGTGCTTGAACAAACTTTGTTTTTGTACTTACATTTGTGGTGTGGTTTTCATATCAGCCCTTTTGGGCTTCCAACCTCACCTGCACACTGTTTTTACCAGTTTTTAATCTGTATTGTTTTGTCTTTCACTACTTTTCTTTGATGCGAACAAATAAAACCTACAATTTAAAAAACCTGGAGTAGGAAATGGCACAAGCCAAAAAAAAAAACACGTGCTGAATTTGATCAATGTATAGCATTGTACATAATTCTTAACACCATCTATAGCTGCTCTTCTCATGGTCTTCTTGATCATTTGCTGTTGAAGGGATCGGTCAGTGAGAGAGAGGTAAAACCTTAGATCTCTAATCTGTAATGGGTGGCAGGTAGCCTAGCGGTTAAGAGCGTTGGGCTGGTAATCGAAAGGTTGCTGGTTTGAATCCCAGAGCTGACTAGGTGAAAAAGCTGTCTGCTAAATGATGTAAACACAACGTTGTTGACCTCTTTTGTCTGAATGCTTATGACTGCCTGTATGATGTCTATAAACAGTCCATGCTTTCATGGTACCAGGTGCAGATGTACGTTCAGCAAATCCTGGAGGGAGTTGGTCACATCCACAGCATGAACATCCTTCATCTGGACATCAAAGTAAGCTCTTCATACATCAATATTCATAAAGCAGCTGGTATATTTCATTTGATTGTTAATACATTAATTTTGTTTTGTGTGCATTGAAACAATTCAGAATGATAATTCATTTGAATGGACAGCTTAGTCATGACATGATAAATTCCCTCACATAGAAATAGAATGAATAGAACAGGCTTTATTCATTCTACTACTATGTACCCTCACCCATCTTCTGTAATTCACACAGCCGGACAATATCCTGATGGTGTTTCCACCCAGAGAGGAGATCAAGATCTGTGACTTTGGCTTCTGTCAAGAGATGGACACTTCCAGACACCAGTACAGTCAGTTTGGAACTCCAGAGTTTGTAGCCCCTGAGATCATACATCAAGACCCTGTCACTATAGCAAGTGATATCTGGTAAGCTAAATGTACTCTATTTCAGTACATCTATGCTACTGTTTGTGACATTCCTGTCATGTGAAGGGACAATGTGATGATTTATCACTACAAAAATGTCTTATCTTTGTCAGGTCCATTGGTGTTGTGGCGTATTTATGGTAAGTACTGTATGATGTGAATTTGAGGTTTGATATTATATATTAGAGTGCCATCATACATGTAATGCGAGTGAGCGTTGACCGGTGAAGTCATGTTGTGTCCTGTTAGTCTGATGTGCCGCTGTCCGTTCGTGGGGGAGACGGACCGGGCCACTCTGCTGAGGGTGGGGGAGGGGACACTGAACTGGGACGCACCCGACCTCACCTACAGGAGCACCGGGGCCCAGGACTTCCTCCGCACGGTCCTGCAGCCAGACCCAGAGTAAGATACACAATCATGGAAAATAATAAAGATTCCCCCTCGTAAAAATTTAATTATTTGTTCTCTCTTCAGAAAGCGACCAACTGCATTTGAGTGTCTGGGGCATGAATGGTTCCAGGTAAGAATTATACAATTTATTTACCGGTGTGTCTCAGCCAGGGTTGATGGAGACTAATTAAATAAATGGAGGAAAAACAATGAATCTTGCCTAACAAATTCTGTCTTGTTGATTAAATTGTCAGAGCGAGGATGAAACTGATGATATCAACACAAGGGCTCTGAAAGTCTTTATTTCAAGGAGGAAATGGCAGGTACAGTAATGAGACCCGCAGACTTTAAACTCTGTCCAGTGCAGTCTTTCTTGTTGCGTCTCTCTCTTTACACAGTATATCCAGTTTTTTCTTAACTGTCTCTTGACAGCTCTGTATGACTGTGCTGTCTTCTCTCTCACCTGCGTTATCTCCCCTCTCAACCCAGCGTTCTCTGACCTGCCTGGGCTCGGTCCTCACCCTGAGGCCCATCTCAGAGCTGCTCGATGCCCCTCCTCGGGAGACCTCTGTCACGGCCCCGAGGGACACCCATGAGCCCAGCAGCACCTCAATGAGCAGCGGCTCCTCCTCGGAGTACGACGAGGCTGACGCCTGGGACTTCTTCCATCACTGCACCACCACAGAGGAGGATGAAGATGAGGAGGAGGAAGACTTCGACCTCCTCATGGAGAGAGCCAGGATCCCAGAGCCCTTCGCCAAGCTGAAATGGGACGAAGAGGAGGAGGAAGGGACCATGGAAGAAGAGGAAGAGGAGATGGGAGGACGGAGGAGCGTGCTGAGTAGGAGCATAAGCAGGCAGTCCATAGTGTCTTCAGACGCCTCCAGGCAGCCGACGCCCCAGAGGGAGAGGAGGGTCAGTCGAGACAGCAGCCCGTCCCTGTACCTCTCCGAGGGGGATGACGGCTCCGCGTCCGGGAGTGAAGGAGGGCGCATCGCCAGGAGCAGCCTGATCCGCAGCACCTTCTACAACAGCTCTGCGCAGCTCTCTCCCATGTCCGCCCGCCACATGACCCTCAGGGACAAGTTCCAGGCCAAGAAGCAGGAGAGGGGCCGCAAACCGCTCCGCAGCAGCCTCTCTAGCCGCCTCAATGAGCCGCTCATTGAGTACATGGAGGACGAGGGAGACACCAATCACGGGCAACGGCGGGGGTCTTTGCAGTCGTCCATGCTCAAGTCCTGCTCCTTCGACAGCGGGGTCGGCCTCTCGCACAATGCACCCCCGCAGAGGAGGAGCAGGTCGTTGGACGATTACTCCCGACGCTCACCAGGAGCCGCCAAACGCAGAGAAGAGGAGGGTTCTTTGAGTCTTAAGGAGGATTTCACTGATGAGGAGGAGGAGAAGAGCTTGGTCGTTGCCCCTCCCCAAATCAAAGGTAGAAGAGGTTCAGTGGCAGTGGCTCCCGCTCAGCTTACGGCCAGGCTTCAGAAACTGGGTGCAAAATTGCCCAATGCTGGTCCAGAGAAGAGCCCTAGGCCAGAGCAGGAGAGACCAGGGGAGGAGGAGGGGGAGAACCTGGCTGGCTCGCAGTGCTCCCTGGCTGAGTCCCTCATCCTCGAGCATGGCTCTGAGACCTCCAGCAGGCTGGGCTCCTGTGAGGATATGTCCCACGGCCACCCTTCAGCCACACATAGAGGGAGAGCAGGAGAAGAGTATGATGACCAGGAGGAGCCCCTAATTACCCCGTCCCCCTGCTCCCTACTCCAGGCATCTGAGGTTGAGGAATCTGAGCAGGAGCCCCAGCGCCGGAGCGGCCAACTTCCAATCCCACCGAGAAGGACAACACACCCCAACCAGAACCCAATAGCCAGAAATAAGGGTCAGGTAGAGAGGAAGGTCCTGCCGGTGAAACCCAGCCCCAGCCTGTCCAGCAAGGCCCCAGAGAGGCCCCCAAGGGCCAGCGACACAGAGGCACGACTCCAGAGGCATTCGTCCACCCCGGCCCTCCAGGCCAAACCGCCCACGGGGAAGTCTCCCAGGATGTCACCCAAAGTTGGGTTGATGAATCTGTTCCGTAGACAGTCCTGGGCAGGGCATTCCTACTCCCAACTGGAGGGCACGGAGCAGGGACCCACGCTAGGGGAATTGGAGCCCAAAACCCCCACCATGTCACTCAGGAAGAAGATGAGGGCATCAGCCTCTAGCCTCACCAAGCTGTTCACTAAATCGTCCAGCAAGGAGGACTTAACGAAGGGAGGTGAGCTACCGTACACTTTTAGTTTAGTACACTTTTTAAAATTAGATCTCTCTCATGTAGTGGAAGCCTTTTTTCAGTTAGTTCTGATGAATCTGAATCTCCACCCTTTATGTTTCTTGGTGCGATGCAGGGCCGATCGTAAAGGGTTCATTTCCTGTTCCGCCTGAGCAAGAGGCAAGCCCTGGCTTGGAGAGCACCAAAAATAAATCCAAGTTCTTCCCATTCAAAATACCTAAAATACCTGCATTCAAAAAGAACAAAGGTCAAGTATATTTAGACTCAATTTACAATCTATTCAGCAGGAGATTGTCTCGCTGCAGTTCTAAATGTATCTTTCTGTTTTCTCTCCAGAAATGCCTATCCGCCCCACCAGGCCTGATGTGCACCATTTGGAGGCAGGTGGATTTCTGCTGGTATGGAGACCAGTGCAGTCCAGCGACCCAGTGGTTTACAGTGTTCAGTACAGCACAGACGGTAAAAGAAAAACACTGCTTACAGATCACACAGACTACTATAGTACAGAATGTATTAATTCTCTACAAAAATGGGTATGTGCAAGTGAAGTGAAGCTACGCTAAACTTGACAAGTTTAACACTATCTACAGGAGTGGGCAGATGATGATGACAATCTCAACATGTTGCATATCAAATATTTGTCCATACTCTGTGCTGCCACAGGTGCGGAGTGGAAGCTCCTGTCAGAGGAGGTGACAGACAGTTGCTACGTGGTGAAGGACTTACCCAGAGGAGCAGGATACGTGTTCAGGGTGGGCTGCATCACAAAGACAGGGGCAGGACCTTTCAGTGACCCTTCACCACCTGTTGTTATGGCAACCCATCCTGAAGGCATGAACATTCAAAATATATAATTTTGTTTTCCTTATATAAATGTATGATTCTTGTTGTAGTGTTTATTGATGAAACTCTTTGATGTTCTGATTTAGTGCTCCACCTCCCTTTTTGAGTCTGTGGCCAGACATAATACTTCTCCTTTGATCTACAGAGACCCACATTCCCCTCATCCAGACCGAGTCCCCAGGTTCAAAGGGCAGTGGGTCAGGAGGTCAACCTAGCCACAAGACCTACAGCTTCCTATCAGAGATCAACAGGTACTGAACATCTATACTGGGTTAGGAAAGTTGCTGTTTTTTATGGACGACGTGAATGTGTGCTAATTTAGCATATATTTGGTCCCAAATGTAAACCCGTGCACAACAGTATACACATATTGTTCTAAAATGTATTACACATCTTTACTTCACACCTGCAAGTAGGCCTATACAGATGTGTGTGCAATCTCTCTCACTATATTTCGCTCCATGTTGTCGGTATCAGGGGTCGTTTCAGCGTGGTGACCCAGTGTCAGGACAGCCATAGCCAGCAGCTATTTGCTGCCAAGATCACCCCCTGCAGGCCAGAGAAGAGACAGCTGGTGCTCAGGGAGTACCAGCTGCTGAAGAGGCTCAACCACCCCCACCTGGTGCAGCTGCACACGGCCTACATAACCCCTTACTACCTGGTGCTCATCCAGGAGCTGTGTGCCGGCAGAGAGCTGCTCTACAACCTGGCTGAGCGGTGAGACAATATGATCACTGCCTGTTTTACATTACGACATTACTTAGTAGTGCTTGGGGGTGGTGTGTGTGTTAGTTTGTAGTCTTAACTGTAGTGTTATCATACAGAGTATGGATACAAAATTAGTTATCTACGGGACTTAGTGAAAACCATGGGTTTTAGATAAACAAAAACACACTATGCTCCCTCCCTCCCTCCCTCCCTCCCTCCCTCCCTCCCTCCCTCCCTCCCTCCCTCCCTCCCTCCCTCCCTCCCTCCCTCCCTCCTTTCCTCCCTCCCTCCCTCCCTCCCTCCCTCCATTCCCTCACCTCCTCCCTCCCTTCCTCCCTCTCTCCCTCTCTCCTTCCCCCCTCCCTCCCCGCCCTCCCTCCCTCCTTCCCTCCCTCCTCTCCCACACAGAGACCTGTATTCTGAGCTCCATGTAGCAGAGCTGCTGGCTCAGATCCTGAGTGCTGTGGACTACCTGCACGGCCGCCGCGTTGTCCACCTGGACCTCAAGTCAGACAACATGCTGGTGACGGACCGCAACGTGCTGAAAATCGTAGACCTGGGCTCTGCTCAGTCCTTCACGCCCGGACAGACACTCAACATAGAGCACATTCAGGGACAAGAGAAAGGTACAGCAAGCAATGACTGGGGAGGATGAGTGGGAAGGATGAGCGGGAAGCATGACTGGAAAGGATGACTGGGGAGGATGAGTGGGAAGGATGAGCGGGAAGGATGACTGGAAAGGATGACTGGGGAGGATGAGTGGGAAGGATGAGTGGGAAGGATGACTGGAAAGGATGACTGGGAAGGATGAGTGGGAAGGATGAGTGGGAAGGATGACTGGGAGGATGACTGGGAGGATAAGCAGGAAGGATGACTGGAAAGGATGACTGGGGAGGATGAGCGGGAAGGATGAGAGGGAAGGATGATTGGGTAGGTTGACTGGGAAGGATGAGTGGGAAGGATGACTGGGAAGGATGACTGGGAAGGATGAGCAGGGAGGATGATTGGGAAGGATGAGTGGGAAGGATAAGTGGGAAGGCTGACTGGAAAGGATGATGATAACATTGTAAAGTAAAACTCATATGAAGAATGTCCTCTCTATCTATCATGTTTTGTCAGTTTACATTGTCCTTCCTAAAGCTCCGGAAATCCTCGATGGACAAGGAGTCGGACCTGAGACCGATATCTGGGCTATTGGGGTGTTAGCTTTTACAATGTAAGTATAGAAAGACACATGCAGATTAATTTATTTAGCAATAATTACACTTCTCTCAATGTTTAGAGCCCTGATTGCCCAGGATGCATCAGTTTGATCCTATATACAAAACACTGACTGGTGCCGACGAAGATGGCAGCCTTGCGACTAGCTCTTAGGACACTTTGCGGTATTTAGTTTTTTTTATATATAATTTTTTAGATTATTTTTTATTTTTATTTTTTATTTTATTTTTTTGGTCATTTAGCAGACGCTCTTATCCAGAGCGACTTACAGTTAAGTGAATGCATACATTTTTCATACTGGCCCCCCGTGGGAAACGAACCCACAACCCTGGCGTTGCAAACACCAGGCTCTACCAACTGAGCTACATCCCTGCCGGCCATTCCCTCCCCTACCCTGGACGACGCTGGGCCAATTGTGCGCCGCCCCATGGGTCTCCCGGTCGCGGCCGGCTGCGACAGAGCCTGGATTCGAACCAGGATCTCTAGTGGCACAGCTAGCACTGCGATGCAGTGCCTTAGACCACTGCGCCAGCCGGGAATTGGAGCAGTGGCTTCTTCCTTGCTGAGCGGCCTTTCAGGTTATGTCGATATAGGACTTGTTTTACTGTGGATATAGATACTTTTGTACCTGTTTCCTCCAGCATCTTCACAAGGTCTTTGGCTGTTGTTCTGGGATTGATTTGCACTTTTCGCACCAAAGTACATTCATCTCTAGGAGACAGAACACGTCTCCTTCCTGAGTGGTATGACGGCTGCGTGGTCCCATGGTGTTTATACTTGCGTACTATTGTTTGTACAGATGAACGTGGTACCTTCAGGCGTTTGGAAATTGCTCCCAAGGATGAACCAGACTTGTGGAGGTCTAAAAAATAAATTCTGAGGTCTTGGCTGATTTCTTTTGATTTTCCTATGATGTCAAGCAAAGAGGCACTGAGTTTGAAGGTAGGCCTTGAAATTCATCCACATGTACACCTCCAATTGACTCAAATGATGTCAATTAGCCTATCAGAAGCTTCTAAAGCCATGACATCATTTTCTGGAATTTTCAAAGCTGTTTAAAGGCAGAGTCAAGTTATTGTATGTAAACTTCTGACCCACTGGAATTGTGATACAGTGAATAATAAGTGAAATAATCTGTCTGTAAACAATTGTTGGAAAAAATGACTTGTGTCATGCACAAAGTAGATGTCCTAACGACACATCTACCACACTGATCCTCAACACGGGGGCCACTCAGGGGTACATGCTCAGTCCCCTCCTGTACTCCCTGTTCACCCATGACTGCATGGCCAGGCACGACTCCAACACCATCATTAAGTTTGCCGACGACACAACAGTGGTAGGCCTGATCACCGACAACGATGAGACAGCCTATAGGGAGGAGGTCAGAGACCTGGCCGTGTGGTGCCAGGATAACAACCTCTCCCTCAACGTGACCAAGACAAAGGAGATGATTGTGGACTACAGGAAAAAAAAGAGGACTGAGCACGCCCCCATTCTCATCGACGGGGCTGAAGTGTAACAGGTTGAGAGCTTCAAGTTCCTTGGTGTCCACATCACCAACGAACTATCATGGTCCAAACACACCAAGACAGTCGTGAAGAGGGCACGACAAAGCCTATTCCCCCTCAGGAGACTGGAAAGATTTGGCATGGGTCCTCAGATCCTCAAAAAATTATACAGCTGCACCATCGAGAGCATCCTGACTGGTTGCATCACCGCCTGGTATGGCAACTGCTTGGCCTCCGACCGCAAGGCACTACAGAGGGTAGTGCGTACGGCCCAGTACATCACTGGGGCCAAGCTTCCTGCCATCCAGGACCTCTATACCAGGCGGTGTCAGAGGAAGGCCCTCAAAATTGTCAAAGACTCCAGCCACCCTAGTCATAGACTGTTCTCTCTGCTACCGCACGGCAAGCGGTACCGGTGTGCCAAGTCTACGTCCAAAATACTTCTCAACAGCTTCTACCCCCAAGCCATAAGACTCCTGAACAGCTAATCATGGCTACCCAGACTATTTGCACTGCCCCCCACCCCCACCCCCACCCCCACCCCCACCCAATCTTTTTACGCTGCTGCTACTCTGTTAATTATTGATGCATAGTCACTTTAACTCTACCCACATGTATATATTACAACCCTGCCGTTGTCCTAGGGTCAAAATGACCCGCCACTGTGTTGAACCAACTTTCTTTAATTTTTATATTTTTTGGATCATTTGTGAGAAGGAGGCAGTGATACTTTCTGTAAAGTGACAACGGGAGGGTTAAACTACCTCAACTAGCCGGTGCCCACGCACATTGACTCTGCACCGGTACCCCCCTGTATATACAGCCTCCCTACTGTTATTTTATTTTACTTCTGCTCTTTTTTTCTCAACACTTTTTTGTTGTTGTTTTATTTTACTTTTTTATTAAAATAAATGCACTGTTGGTTAAGGACTGTAAGTAAGCATTTCACTGTAATGTCTGCACCTGTTGTATTCGGCACATGTGGCCAATACAATTTTATTTTATTTTATTTGATTGATGGTTGAAAACGAGTTTTAACGACTCCAACCTAAGTGTATGTAAACTTCCGACTTCAACGGTATATACTGTATTCTATAATATTCTACTGTATCTTAGTCGATGCCGCTCTGTCATTGCTTGTCCATATATGTATATATTCTAAATTCCATTCCTTACTTATATTTGTGTGTATTGGGTATATGTTGTGAAATTGTTAGATATTACTTGTTAGATATTACTGCACTGTCGGAGCTAGAAGCACAAGTATTTTGCTACACCCGCAATAACATCTGCTAAACACGTGTATGTGACAAATCAAATTTGATTTGATTTGATTTGTACAAAACATTATTAACACCTGCGCTTTCCATGACATAGACTGACAAAGTGAATCCAGGTGAAAGCTATGACCTGTTATTGATGTCACTTGTTAAATCCACTTCAATCAGCGGAGATGAAGGGATTTTTAAGGAAGGATTTTTAAGCCTTTAGACAATTGAGACATGTATTGTGTATGTGTGCCATTCAGACGGTGAACGGGGTATGGTAGTAGGTGCCAGGAGCACTGGTTTGTGTCAAGAACTGCAACGCTGCTGGGTTTTTCACGCTCTACAGTTTCCTGTGTGTATCAAGAATGGTCCACCACCCAAAGGACATCCAACCAACTTGACACAACTGTGAGAAGCATTGGAGTCAAAATGGGCCAGCATCCCTGTGGAACGCTTTCGACTCCTTGTAGAGAGGGGGTAGGGGGCGGGGGCGTACATCTCAATATTAGGAAGGTGTTCCTAATGTTTTGTATACTCAGTGTAGAGTAATACTGCCATTTATTCATATTTTTGTCCTCTGATATGTCTATATATCCTCCCTCTAACCACCTAGGTTGAGTGCAGATAGCCCGTTCCATTCAGACCTAAACTGGGAGAGGGACAGGAACATCCGAAAGGGGAAGATCCAGTTTGGCCGCTGCTACCCTGGCCTGTCAGAAGCAGCAATCAACTTCATGAAGAACACACTGAGCAACAAGGCCTGGTGAGTCCATTGGCCACATCTTAGCCAACCAGCACCTATATATATTGCCTATTTGAGATAGCCAAGGTACACCCAAAGTTGTTTCATTGAGAGGTAATTGATAGGTAGTGTTAACGTTATAACAACCAGAACCAACCATTTCAGAATTTTCCCGATGTGTTTCATCTGATGCGTTTCCTGTGATGTATTTCCTCAGGGGGAGACCCTCAGCAGCTGAGTGCCTCCAGAACCCTTGGGTACGGGGTGAGCGGGCCCCCTCCAAACACAGAGACTCCATCTTGTGTTTCTCTACCGACAAGCTGCAGGCCTTCCTCAAGGAGAGAGAGGTGAAACGAGACCAGGTCCGCACCAAGCTGCAAGGCCCGTTCTTCCATTGATCTGCTCTTCCATTTGGACTGTTAGGAATTACAAATGAACTGGAGCTGGATGATGTATCTTCATAGCCCAGATCCTGATCACAAATATGTGATGTCTTACCAAATTTACATTTACATTTTTGTCATTTTTGTTGATCTAAAATAGAGACTGGTCAAATGTGTATGTATTAATGGCTGTCTAAAGTTTTGTTAAAAGTGTATATGTCTGAATGAATTGGACTTTGGCTTTGGTTGAATTACGGCGTCATGATATCAGGGAAATGTTTAGTTAGATGCTTTATGCAAAAACAGTTGCATGAGTTTGAAAACATGAGGATGTGGATGTGTGAATACATCGTCCCTTGGAGTTTGCGGCATTGGACATTACAAAAGTTAATATTTCATTCTCTAGATTTGTAGATTTTGTGGTTTATTAGCCAAGGCGACAGATCAGAGGAGGGTTCATGTGCCCAAAGCATAGCAAGGGCCCCTACCTGCATACAGTTTTGTCTCACAAAGAGAGGAATGTTGAAATCCCTATCGGTAGATACATATAGACAAATATTTAGATATAAATATAGATATTAAGAGTGAAAGATTTACACTATTGCAATGTTTTACATGTTTTCAATGGTCTTATTGTTATAATGTATAAATGGAGAAAATTAATTTTAATTTTGATGATCGTTTATTTGATTTCATGGAGTATTCCTGTATCTTGGGACAGGTGCTGTATGTACTGAAAGACACATTAAACAGTATATGAGTGGTAAGACCGTTTTTATTTGTCTAGCTCCGTCGCATACAAAAGCATACACTGCAAGACACACACGTTTTCTTTCCTGCAGATGGATGGCTACAGTAAGTGACCTGAGAGTTAAACTGACGACCTCAGGTCTGATTTGTGACCTATGAAAGCTGTCTCTTGAGTGCTTTGGTCCTTACCCAGTCAGTTACATATTCAATTAGTATAACACCCCCACAATACACATCCCAGGAAGAGTAGCTGATGCTTTTGCAACGGCTAACGGGGATCCTAATAAACACCAATACCACCATTCGGTGTAACATCATTCAGACTACAGTATCATAGATTAAAACCAAGAGAGAAAATGAGACTACAGAATGGTGTTTTTACTATTTGACCAATAAGAATATAATGAAGATTAAGACATATCAGTTTTTACCTCAAAGCTAGACCGCTAATATGACATTTCACAGCTAAGACACCGTTTTATGCACAACTTTTGTTTTACTGCTTCATATGCTGGATGGTCATCACACATGTCAAGTCAGGGGCATTCATCACACATGTCAAGTCAGGGGCATGTTAAGTACAATGTCGAACCTTAGATTATAACCACAAAACTCTGAATGAATGAAGGTCTATTGGCTTTGGCAGTGGTTTCTATTTGTCTACATGGCTGAAACCCAGTTGGCAGTAAGGTTAAAAGTAGACGTTTACTATTTACTGTATCTACTGTATACTCTACACGTACCTTTCAAATGTCCCGTTGTCTTACTCAAAAGTGTCCCGCTGCTCTACTCATAATTCCTCATAAATGATGGACTGAATGAATATGGAAAACAACCTAAGAATCTAAGACCATCTTCTTGAGTCCACAGTGTGTGTTTCTGTGGAAATCCCGACAGTATTCGAATGGCAACCCTCAGAACATTTCCGTTTGTGGCTAAATCGAAATGAGCTGGTGTCAGATGTCGGCTTATGTGTCTCCTATAAAGTACCAGGCAAGAGGAAGACTGGGACACTGTTACTGCAGCTCCTTACGACTCGATGCCCTCCTGAACTTTCATTATTTCCTGTTGAGGAGAGGAGTAGAAGGCGGTCAACCAACACGTGAGACAAGGTGCGACCCCCCCCCCCCCCCCCCCCCCCCCCCCCCCCCTCATTCAATGTTTAACTGATGTAACAGGCCCTGTGTAGTTACATGTAACAATGCTACCCATGACCTGTATAAAAGACACCTGGGAGCCATAAATCTTTCTGATTGAGAGGGGGTCAAAAACGTATTTCCCTCATTAAAATGCAAATACATTTATAACATTTTTGATATGCGTTTTTCTGGATTTTAGTTGTTGTTATTCTGTCTCTCACTGTTCAAATAAACCTACCATTAAAATTATAGACTGATCATTTCTTTGTCAGTGGGCAAACATACAAAATCAGCAGGGGATCAAATACTTTTTTCCCTCACTGTACATACTCTTATCCAACATGGAATGAATGTATCTAGTCAACACATCCTGTATCTAGTCAGCACCTGCTGTATCTAGTCATCAACACCTCCTGTATCTAGTCAACACATCCTGTATCTAGTCAACATCTCCTGTATCTAGTCAACACATACTGTATCTAGTCAGCACCTGCTGTATCTAGTCATCAACACCAACTGTATCTAGTCATTAACACCTCCTGTATCTAGTCAACACATCCTGTATCTAGTCAACACCTCCTGTATAAAGTATTCAACACTACCTCTATCTAGTCATCAACACCTCCTGTATCTAGCCTACACATCCTTTATCTAGTCAACACCTCCAGTATCCAATCATCAACACCTCCTGTAACTAGTCAACAATACCTCCAGTATCTAGTCAACATCTCCTACATTTAGTCATTGACACCTCCTGTATATAATCAACACATCCTGTGTCTAGCCATCAACACCTTGTCACGCCCTGGCTCTGGGGACACTGTTATGTTGAGCCAGGGTGTGCAGATTTGTGTTGTAGTTCTAGTTGGTTCATTTCTATGTTGGCCAGTGTGGTTCTCAATCAGAGGCAACGAGTGTCAGCTGTGGCTGGTTGTCTCTGATTGGGAACCACATTTAAACAGGCTGTTTTCCCACAGTAGTTGTGGGATCTTGTTTCCGTTTGGTTTGTTTCCGTGTTGGATGTGTAAACCGTAGGACTGCACGTTTTGTTTGTTGTTTATATTATCACTAAAGATAATAAAGTTTAAGTATGTTTGCAACTAACGCTGCGCATTGGTCTACTCCGTCTAACGTTCGTGACAGAAGATCCCACCAAGACTGGACCAAGCAGCAAGTCCAGGAGCCATCGCCTGAGAGATCTCTAGCGGATCTCCTTCGCCTCCTCAACTGGGTCAAGCCATGTGAGGAAGAGAGGGGCTTGACGTGGAAGCAGAAGGGCGAAAGGCTGGCAAAAAGTATGGAGACCTGGTCCACGGGTAGGAGTGAAGCCCATAACATTTTTAGGGGGGGGGCTAACGCCGTGGACGACGGGGCAGCAGGAGACCGCGACAGAGCAGCCCAGCGGGTTGGCAGAGGAGGCCGCCAGGTTACGGCGGCCACTGGTCGAAGAGGGGAAGGAAGGTGTAGAGGCACGGCGAGAGGTACTGGGGTGTGTTACCAGTCCGGTCCGGCCCGTTCCTGATCCCTGCATAGGGCCAGTGGTGTGTGTCCCCAGTACGGTCCGGCCTGTTCCTGTTCCTCGCATCGAGCCTGTGGTGCGCGTCGCCAGCCCGGTCCGGCCCGCTCCTGCTCCCCACACCAAGCCAGTGGTGTGCGTCGTCAGTCCGGCACGGCCCGTGCCTGTTCCCCACACCAAGCCAGTGGTGTGCGTCGCCAGCCCGGTCCGGTCCGCTCCTGCTCCCCACACCAAGCCAGTGGTGTGCGTCGTCAGTCCGGCACGGCCCGTGCCTGTTCCCCACACCAAGCCAGTGGTGTGCGTCGCCAGCACGGTCCGGCCCGCTCCTGCTCCCCACACCAAGCCAGTGGTGTGCGTCGTCAGTCCGGCACAGCCCGTGCCTGTTCCCCACACCAAGCCAGTGGTGTGCGTCGCCAGCCCGGTCCGGTCCGCTCCTGCTCCCCACACCAAGCCAGTGGTGTGCGTCGTCAGTCCGGCACAGCCCGTGTCTGTTCCCCACACCAAGCCAGTGGTGTGCGTCGCCAGCCCGGTCCGGTCCGCTCCTGCTCCCCACACCAACCCAGTGGTGTGCGTCGTCAGTCCGGCACGGCCCGTGCCTGTTCCACCGGTGCCTGGTCCGGCACCGGTCAGCTGCTTCACGCCGGAGCTAGAGCAATCCGCTCCACCAGTGTGCAGTCCAGCTCCGGTCAGCGGGGCCAGACCGGACCAGGGGTACTTTGGGGGGTTGGAGAGGGAGTGGGGATCAGGCCCGGAGCCGGATCCGCCGCCAAGGCGGAGTGTCCACCCGGTCCCTCCCCTGTGGTATTTAGTTGACGCGGTCGGAGTCCGCGCCTTTAGGGGGGGGTACTGTCACGCCCTGGCTCTGGGGACACTGTTATGTTGAGCCAGGGTGTGTAGATGTGTGTTGTAGTTCTAGTTGGTTCATTTCTATGTTGGCCAGTGTGGTTCTCAATCAGAGGCAACGAGTGTCAGCTGTGGCTGGTTGTCTCTGATTGGGAACCACATTTAAACAGGCTGTTTTCCCACAGTAGTTGTGGGATCTTGTTTCCGTTTGGTTTGTTTCCGTGTTGGATGTGTAAACCGTAGGACTGCACGTTTCTTTTGTTGTTTATATTATCACTAAAGATAATAAAGTTTAAGTATGTTTGCAACTAACGCTGCGCATTGGTCTACTCCGTCTAACGTTCGTGACACACCTCCTGTATCTAGTCAATACCTCCTTTAGCTGGTCATCAACACCGCCTCTGTCTAGTCAACACATCCTGTATCTAGTCATCAACACCACCTGTATCTAGTCAACACCTCAAGTATCTAGTCAACGCCTCCTGTATGTAGTCAATAACACCTCCTGAATCTAATCAACACCTCTTGTATCTAGTCATTATACCTCGTGTACCTAGTCAACACTTCAATTATCTAGTCATCAGCACCTCCTTTATGTAGTCAACAACACGTCTTGTACCTAGTCAACACCTCCTGTACATAGTCAACACCTCAAATATCTAGTCATCAACACCTCCTTTATCTAATCAACAATTCTAGTTGATATCTCCTGTATCAAGTCCACCCCTATTGTATCTAGTCATCAACTGCTGTATCTAGTCATACCTCCTGTATCTAATCAACAATACCTCCTGTATCTAGTCAACACCTCCTGTATCTAGTCATTATACCTCCTGTACCTAGTCAACACTTCAATTATGTAGTCATCAGCACCTCCTTTATCTAATCAACAATTCCTTCTGTATATAGTCAACACCTCCTGTATCTAGTCATCAATGCCTCCTGTACCTAGCCAACACCTCAATTATCTACACCCCCTTAAATACATTTCCATTTTAGTCATTTAGCAGATGCTCTTGTCCAGAGCGACTTGCAGTTAGTGAGTGCATAATTTTTTTTTCTCATACTGGTCCCCCATGGGAATCGAACCCACAACCCTGGCGTTGCAAGCGCCATGCTCTACCAACTGAGCTAAACGGGGCCATCTAATCTAATCAACAACTGCTCCTGTATCTAGTCAACACCTCCTGTATCTATTCATCAACACCTCTTGTATCTAGTCATCAACACCTGCTGTATCTAGTCAAGACCTCATGTATTTAGTCATCAATACCGCCTGTATCTAGTCATCAGCACCTCCTCTACCTAGTCAGCACCTCAATTATCTAGTCATCAACACCTCCTTTATCTAGTCAACAACACCTCTTGTATCTAGTCAACACCTCCTGTATCTAGTCATCAATACCTCCTGTACCTAGTCAGCACCTCAATTATCTAGTCATCAACACCTCCTTTATCTAGTCAACAACACCTCTTGTATCTAGTCAACACCTCCTGTATCTAGTCATCAATACCTCCTGTACCTAGTCAACACCTCAATTATCTAGTCATTAACACCTCCTTTATCTAGTCAACAACACCTCTTGTATCTAGTCAACACCTTCTGTAACCATTCATCAACACCTCCTGTATTTAGTCATCAACACCTCCTGTATCTAGACATCAGCACCTCCTCTACCTTGTCAACAAACCTCCTGTATCTAGTCAACAACACATCCTGTATCTAGTCAACACCCCCTGTATCTAGTCACACCTCCAGTATCTAGTCAACACCTAAATTATGTAGTCAACACCTCTTGTATCTAGTCATCAACACCGCCTGTATCTAGTCACACCTCCTGTATCTAGTCATCACACCTCCTGTATCTAGTCAACACCTCATGTATCTAGTCAACATCTCCTGTATCTAGTCATCAACACCTCCTTTATCTAGTCAACAATACCTACTGTATCTAGTCAACACCTCCTGTATCTAGTCATCAACACTTCCTGTACCTAGTCAACAAGACCTCCTGTATCTAGTCAACAACAACTTCTGTATCTAGTCAACACTTCCTGTATCTAGTCATCAACACTGCCTGTGTCTAGTCAACACTTCAATTATCTAGTCATCACCTCTTGTATCTAGTCATCAACACCTCCTGTATCTAGTCAACAACAACTCCTGTATCTAGTCAATACCTCTTGTATCTAGTCAACACGTCCTGTATCTAGTTATCAACACCTCCTGTACTTAGTCAACAACACCTCCTGTATCTAGTCAACAACAACACCTGTATCTAGTCAACACTTCCTGTATCTAGTCAACACCTCCTGTATATAGTCATCAACAACTCCTGTATATAGTCAACAATACATCCTGTATCTAGGCATCAACACCTCCTTTATTTAGTCAACCACATCTCCTGTATCTAGTCAATTCCTCCTGTATCTAGTCAACACCTCCTGTATCTCCTCAACAAAACCTCCTGAATTTAATCAACACCTCCTGTATCTAGGCATCAACACCTCCTTTATTTAGTCAACCACACCTCCTGTATCTAGTCATTAGTCAGCCATCTTCTTTTCAGACTCACCTCCTTAAGAACACTTTGCAACTTCTCATAGGACTCATCCAAGTCATCGTTGACAATGACAATGTCAAACAATCCAGGCTGGTTGCCTAAAATAGAAGAGTGAAGAAAAAATCATGAAAACACTTAAAATAAATAATTGTCAATGGCATGTAATGGACTGTCCTTACTTCAATTCACATCCCTCAAACATTTGTAGGTTTAAAACCAGTTTACATAGGACAGTAAAGAGGAACTACATTCCTCCATGTTTACATAGGACAGTAAAGAGGACCTACACTCCTCCATGTTTACATAGGACAGTAAAGAGGACCTACACTCCTCCATGTTTACATAGGACAGTAAAGAGGACCTACACTCCTCCATGTTTACATAGGACAGTAAAGAGGACCTACACTCCTCAATGTTTACATAGGACAGTAAAGAGGACCTACACTCCTCCATGTTTACATAGGACAGTAAAGAGGAACTACACTCCTCCATGTTTACATAGGACAGTAAAGAGGAACTACACTCCTCCGTGTTTACATAGGACATTAAAGAGGAACTACACTCCTCCATGTTTACATAGGACAGTAAAGAGGACCTACACTCCTCCGTGTTTACATAGGACAGTAAAGAGGAACTACACTCCTCCATGTTTACATAGGACAGTAAAGAGGAACTACACTCCTCCATGTTTACATAGGACAGTAAAGAGGACCTACACTCCCCTATGTTTACATAGGACAGTAAAGAGGACCTACACTCCTCCATGTCAATCCGTGCTGCTTCCAGGCGGCTCTGGATTTTCTCCTCTGTCTCCGTCGCTCTACCCCTCAGACGCTCTTCCTGTACACATCAATGTTCCCCAAACATTTTTTGTTTATACATTTCAAGAACAAACTTGCCATGTGGCCATCTCAGGTCTAGCAAGCATACATAAAGTTAAACTGCACAGTAGAAGAGTTGTAGGCAACTAGATTCAGCCGCAGTCTGATTTTTTTTCTGAGCAAATGGTTATTTGTCCGGAACATACTTATAAATATAGCAGCAATGAACGGGGTTCACAGGATGACAGAAATAACACAAAATCAGTTGGATAACAAAGCAAGCACTCTATCATGTAGGAACTATCTTCCTTTATGTGCAATCAGTGAAAACATTACCATGTTTATCTCTCAATACCACAAGGATGACGCAAGTTAAGTTGAATCTAGTTAGTGTAAATGATTCATAGGGCAGAAGGTAGCCTAACGGTTAAGAACGTTGGGCCAGTAACTGAAAGGTCGCTGCTTCGAATCCCTGAGCTGACTACGTGAAAAATATTTTGATGTGCAACAAGGCACTGAACCCTAAACACTCCTGCAAGTTACTCTGGATAAGAGCATCTACTAAAGTGTAAATGTAACAATAGGTGATTATACAGATATAGTAATCATGATATTTCACATTATTTGTCTGCATAATCTAAATCTAACATGAATTTGCATGAGACAAAGTCCAGTTGATCAACAGTTATTGCTCTAGTGTCCTCTGGTGCCAATGACATCTATAGTGCCACCATCTGGTCTGGTGCAGCCATCTCAGGTTGCAGTGACTTTATATTCACACAGCTTCCAAGGACATTCAGAAAGTATTCACACTCCTTGACATAAAAAAAAAAAAATGTGTTAGAGCCTGAATTGAATATCACTGGCATACACACAATACCCCATAATGTCAAAGTGGAATTATGTTTTTCGAAATTTAATTTAATTTTAATTTAATTTAATTCAAAAAGAAATGCTGAAATGTCTTGAGTCAATAAGTATCCAACCCCTTTGTTATGGCAAGCCTAAAGAAATTCAGGAGAAAGAATTTGCTTAACAAGTCACATAATAAGTTGCATGGACTCACTCTGCATGCAATAATAGTGTTTAACATGATATTTGAATGACTACCTCATCTATGTACCCCACACATACAATTAACTGTAAGGTCCTTCAGTCGAGCAGTGAATTTCAAACACATATTCAACCACAAAGACCAGGGAGGTTTTCCAATGGCTCGCAAAGGGCACCTATTGGTAGATGGGTAAAAATTAAAATAAAAGCAGACATTGAATATCCCTTTGACCATGGTGAAGTTATTAATTACACTTTGAATGGTGCATCAATGCACCCAGTCACTACATAGATACAGGCGTCCTCAGTTGCCGGAGAGGAAGGAAACCGCTCAGGGATTTCACCATGAGGCCAATGGTGACTTTAAAACAGTTACAGAGTTTAATGGCTGTGGTATGAGAAAGCTGAGGATGGATTAGCAACATTGTAGTTACTCCACAATATTAATCTAATTGACAGAGTGAAAAGAAGGAAACCTGTACAGAATAAAAAATATTCCAAAACATGCATCCTGTTTGCATCAAGGCAGTAAAGTAAAATTGCTAACAATGTGGCAGATCAATTCACTTTTTGTCCTGAATACAAGGTGTCATGTTTGGGGCAAATCCAATACAACACATTACTGAGTACCATATTTTCAAGCATAGTGGTGGCTTTATCATGTTATGGGTATGCTTGTAATCATGAAGGAATGGGGAGTTTTTCAGGATAAAAATAAACGGAATGGATCTAAGCACAGGCAAAATCCTAGAGGAAAACCTGGTTCAGTCTGCTTTCCACCAGACACTGGGAGATTAATTCACCTTTTAGCAGGACAATAACCTAAAACACAAGGCCAAATCTACACTGGAGTTGCTTACCAAGAAGACAGTGAATGTTCCTAAGTGGCCAAGTTACAGTTTTGACTTAAATCTACTTAAGAATCTATGGTAAGACCTGAAAATGGTTGTCTAGCAATAATCAACAACCAATTTGCACAATCCAGGTGTAGAAAGCTTTTAGAGACTTACCCAGAAAGACTCACTGCTGTAATCGATGCCAAAGGTGCTTCTACTAAGTATTGTCTCAGGGGTGTGAATTCTTATGTAAATGAAATATTTCTGTATTTCATTTTTAAATGAAATATTTCTGTATTTCCTTTTCAATAAATTTGCAAAACTTTCTTAAAACACGTTTTCACTTTATCATTATGGGGTATTGTGTGAAGATGGGTGGGAGAAAATAATGAATTTAATCAATTTTGAATTCAGGGTGTAACAAAACAAAATGTGGAATAAGTCAAGGGGTATGAATACTTTCTGAAGGCATGGAAGGCACTCTACATAAGGTTTACATAACATGGCCCCATGTCCATCGGTTCAGTTTTATAGCCCTTTTGTGATATGGTGCTATCTAGTGGTGTATCATGGTTGACTTTGAATGCAGCAACTAGTCATTCTACAATTCCTTATAGGCTAATTAATTGAGTCTATATACCAGATCTGGATTCAATCTGATTTATGGTTCATGAGAAGAAGAGGGTTTGGGTATTTTTATCATAAGCATATGTGCTAATAATATGCATCTACTGGTATAGTGTGGCCATCTTTGAATGCAGCAGAGTTAGTTTCTCAGACTCTTTAGGGACTATTGTAATGAGTCCAAAGACCAAATTTGGATTGAATCCGACTTTTAGTCCATGAGAAGTAGTTTTCTTTGGATTATTTTAAGCATTAGCATTACATAGTCAAACAAGTGAATTGTAAACCGTTTACTTATTTTGTAAGATATCAATGCCAAACTTAACCTGGTTCATCATGGTAATGTCTTTGATGACACTAAAACGTTTACAAAGGATTTAATTGGAGACGTAAAATCAGATTTCTGATTTATCAATAACTCCGCCATCTCTTAACCAATCCCTTAGCTTTTCTCAAAATATCATGGGCCTTTATACCGAATTTGGCGTAATTTGGACTTATGGTTCATGAGAATACATTTTTCAAAGGTTTTCCAAAATGTCCAAGATGGAGGAATATCTATCACGACGGACCTTAATGGTCCTTGAGGCAAATTTGTTCAGCATGAGGAAAGACACCTACATACAAAGTTTCAGGTCAAACGGGGAGGCGGATATAAGGGTTTAAGTAAGACTTCTTACAACAGCGATACCTATAAGCCAATCAGTGCCATTCTCCTTGACCAACTTACTCATGGCCTCTAGTTTATGTGTGCCAAATTAGAAAAAAAGTTGCCAATCTATGCTGGAGCTTCGCTGTGAACACCTAATAATTTGTACACTGCAAATGGGCCACAAATAATCTCAAATGTATTATGTATTTCACAATAACACAATCATTTAATACCTTGAGTACATTGAGACACAATCAAATATGTCCTTATTTTTCTCCATGGGGATAGTTGGGAACAGATTTTATAAATTAAAATCATTAGCTGAATTTCTGGTGATTTTACAGTCTCCTTTTTCCAACAACAGATTTTTTCTATTTTATAACTTTAAAACTTTGGGGGGCAAATAAATATTGCTTGTGGGCCGAATGTGTCGCCTGTTGCGGAATCTTGCAGTAGAAGATCGCTGTGCAATGTATGGTTGTGGACTCTTACCAGGACCTCAATGGAGGGGGGCTGGATAGAAACATAGATGGGGTCCAGGTCAGACTCCTTGATGTGCCTCACTCCCGCGATATCCACATCCAAGATGCAAATGAGGCCCTTGGCCCTCACGTCCTGTACAGCACACTTACTGTGGAGAAAACAAACAACATAGCAATGTTTATTCATTGCATGCACGAGTCCACCGAACAAACTAGAAAATGACATCACTGATTATCACCGTTTCATACTGTAAGACATTTTGGTGCCAACAAAAAGTTCAGAAAATGTACTCTACCTTGTTCCATACAGGTTGCCAGAAAACTCATCAGTCTCAATGAATTCTCCCGTGTCAATATCCTCCTGCATAGCCTCCCTGTTTGTGAAGTGGTAATCTTGAAACAGACAGGAGAGATGAAGAAGCAGTTAATGATCAGTCAGGCTGGATGGAGTTCTCTCAAATTAATCATGGGTAAATTCACAGGGTACAGTACATTTATAATGATTAGTATTCAGGCACTAAAAAAGAGTGATATACAAAGAATGCAAGGATAAGTATGGGTAGATAGGGACATTTAATTTCACATCACTACAAGCAATTAGGGAAATTAACACTGACGTCACTACAAGCAATTCACACAATGAATGACCCCCAAGTATGAAAGGTGGAAGGTGATTAGAAATGGGCAAAAAAGACACGCTGTTCTTTTTTTTTGCCAAGGTCTGGGTGCAAGAGGAACAATATAAATGTGCCCTTGAGCAAGGCACTTAACCCTAATTGCTCCTGTAAGTCGCTCTGGATAAGAGCGTCTGCTAAATGACTAAAATGTAAATGTAATGTAATGTAAAATGTAAAATGATATATACAGTATAGAACAGTAAGAGAGACGGTGTACAGGGCACACATCAAACTAACACATTACTGTCCCCTACATTGGGATTATATTATTCCTTCACAACATCACAGTCACAGTGGATCTAATACAGTGGGGGGAAGTCTGTAGGAAACACAGGACAACCTTGTCACGATCACTTCAACAGGGACAACAATGCTCATAATGAACCTACAGCAACTCATATCAACACATACTCATTAGCATTACAACATGACAGGTGTGTTCAGATTGAGAAGGAATTCCAGCACATTCAAATATCTCCTGGTAAAAGATAGATGTCTCACTGGGAAAAGAGAGGATTGCAATAGATGTAAATAAAGGTGAAAATGCTCTCTATGAAGGTCATAGCAATGGTTTGTAACTACAAAATTATATATAAAAACTCAAACTAATAGACTAATGAACTATCACATCAGACTTAATCCAGCAAAGGTCATAGTCGTGGTGGTGAAGTTACTGCGTTATTTAAAACATCTAAATATATAAAACTAGAGCTCAACTAAACAAGACATCAAGCCTTAACTCTCTCCATTATCCACATTCCTGGGGGGGGAAACAGAATACATCAAACAGCGATCTTCCTCAAAAACTATTATTGCATAAGTCGTAGGAAATCACAGGTATATTGATAAAATTAATAGAATAGTCCTAAAGATATCTGCCTTGACAACAGGACCAGACTGTACTAGCAGCTATGATCCATACTTTCAATTAATATTACTGAACTGGAGTATATCAAATATTAAACAAATGGCAGTACTATGAAGCCTATCAATTTCAACAAAATGCTGTGATGCTAATGGTGGGTACATAACAGACATTTTATGGGTGTGAATACTTATTTTTTTGGGGGGTCAGGAGAGGGTATCCACTACTGAGGAATCACAGGGGGCTATTTTCAAAAGCTTTTTACCCCAAAGTGCAAACTGGCATTTGTATTCGTGAAAATATTAGATGTAGTCTATTTACCATAACTAGTATGCCCTTGGTATTGTTTAGTTTGGTCACTCTATACTAGGAAGATGAAAGTAACCCCCATCACTCTCTCTTAGCAATGTTTTTATGAATCGCATTTAGAATTGGTTCGAATGAATACAAAATGAATAGGAGATAGCTACACCTGCAGATGAAACAGACGATAGGACGTCTGCTAGGGGCAGTAAGGTAGCCCCCAGAAGCATAGGCAGACAGAACAGGCCTATGGAGAAAACAAAAAAAGACACAAGAAATAATGTTTATCGCTGTATCTTCCAGGGGGATCATTTGGAGAGCCACTGGTGCAGTTCACTTGGGAGTAAGAAGCATTGGAGCTTCAGTGTCAGTAGGAATGGAATAGGCTGGGGCGTGTAGGTGAAGAGGTGGTGTGAAGGTTGTGTTGGAACAAAAACAAAAGAGGGCAACAAGGTAGTGATGGAGGTCCATAGGTACAGAAAAGCTGGAAGTAGTAGGTTTAATATATATATATATATATATATATATATATATATATATATATATATATATATATATATATATATATATATATATATATATATATATATATATATATTAGGCTAAATGTAAGAATTTCAAAAAATCTAGAAAAATGTATATAATGGCTCAAAAGCCATGAGTCTAGTCAACACAAATGACTGGATACTCTACTGTACATTATCTCTGTAATATGTCATGCAAATACATGCATTATCTGTAGCCCTTTCTTGCAGTCAAATGACCTAGTGGCCTCATGAGTGGAACGTTATTAAATGTTTTCATAATTTCATAATTCATTAATAAACATTACTTTTTTTTAATTGCAGAAAATCTGGTGTTTCTATGTCAAATGGTTTTTATATTTTTCAGTCTTCTGTGATGTATATAAATTGTAATATTGGGACGCAAACTCAAAATTGAATACATTTCAACTCTATATCTGACATGGTACACTCTTAGAAAAAAGGGTTCTACGACTGTCCCCATAGGAGAACCCTTTTTGGTTCTACATGGAACCCTTTTGGGTTCCATGTAGAACCCTCTACATGGAAACCAAAAGGGTTCTACCTGGAACCAAAAATAGTTATTCAAAGGGTTATCCTTTGGGGACAGCCGAAGAACCATTTTAGGTTCTAGATAGCACCTTTGTTTCTAATAATGTACAGGTGTCTTCTTTTTTTAAGGCCATAACCATGTGTGTGAGGTGTATATTTTGTTTCAAAGTAGATTTGTTTAAGACTACCAAGAAGCACTCTGTGTGACCCTGATTTAGCCCACTGCAGTAAAAGGTTTAACATTGTCTCCAGTCTTTACGTATACTTATTTAAGATAGAAAACACATAACTTTTAGCTCTTCAGTCAGCTGTCGTCTGAACAGCAATAGTCTATGCAGAAATATTACAATTGTGAGCAGGAAGCTTCCACCACACTCAACATGGCCAGCCAGGTCTCAGAGCAAAACGTATTATATTTTACAAAAATGTGTGCCGTTCCATTTAGTATGATACTGTATGTTACTTTACGTTCGGTTACATTACATTGGCCAACATAAATCTGGGACACTTAAATTAGTATGATATGTTATGTTCGGTGTGACAGTAGGTTACTTAAGGCAAAAACAAAAGGAGAGTGGCTGGTCAGGGTGGTTGGGTGGCTTTATAAAGTGAAATGGCTGACAACAACCAGACCCTCTTACCCACAGGTGTGGTCTTGACACCTTAATACTGCCATAAATTAGAGAGGATAATCTGTCTCTGGCATTCTAGTATGGTGAAAGAAAAGCCTTTGTTTCAGAGACTTTTTGCCGCCCAAAAACTTAAACATCCAACAATGAACATTGGGACAGTATATTTCAACATCCAAATGTTGGGAATGATGAGAAATGGAATATGGAAAATGAATGTCTATTTTGTGATGTCATTAAAAATGGTATAAAGGCGTTATAAGGAAAACATTGTGACTTGAAGAGCTTTTACACTGTGGATATCAGGTATACATCCTTTACCTTGTGTAGAAAATATCAAGGAGGAAGACAATGTTTTCATGAAGATATGGATGTGATTTTAGCTTCTGTAGAGCACGGCGCTTGTAACGCCAAGGTAGTGGGTTCGATCCCCGGGACCACCCATACACAAAAATGTATGCACGCATGACTGTAAGTCGCTTTGGATAAAAGCGTCTGCTAAATGGCATATTATTATTATTATTATTAACAAAATCATAGTGATGATAATACTTTTGTCTCGAAACTAGCCATGCCCGAGGGAGCTCAGAGAGCGTGTCAGTATGACGGAAACACCCTTCTTTACCTGAGTGCATAAAAGATTGAGATAAGAATTATCAGATCAGACTAGACGGACCTCAAGCTGCAGCTTTTGTCCATATTGGTCCCGACCCTGAAAATCAACACGAGGTGAAGACGACAAAGTTGCCTCCACTAACAATCAATGTTACGGCTGAGTAGCTGTTCTAAGTACTGTATCTAAGAAGGTGAATTTAAGTGGGACCATCCTGTTACTCTCTTCAAGCCATCCTCAACTACACTGCTCTCATCACCCCACAGGGGATCATCGACACGGTGGATTAGCCGTCCTCAGAAGACCACTTCCAGAACGAGTGAAAGTAAACAGACAACTAAGAAGAAGGACATTGTGACCTCTTGCGGACAATCTGAGCCTTACAGCTAAAAGGCCATCCGAAAGAGAAGGCCCAATCGACCCCTTCCCACGAAGGCCTGGGTCCAACAGAGATACACGACGAAGACCCCCAACACGTAAATACATGCATTACTTTTCTTCCCAAACGGGCGGCAGTTCGGGGCAAAGTATTAGGATTACTGTGAGCATAGGTCCATGTGTTTCCAAGTGTTTTCTCTCTCTCTCTCTCTCTCTCTCCTCTCTCTCTCTCTCTCCTCTCTCTCTCTCTCTCTCTCTCTCTCTCTCTCTCTCTCTCTCTCTCTCTCTCTCTCTCTCTCTCCCCTCTCTCTCCCTCTCTCTCTCTCTCTCTCTCTCTCTCTCTCTCTCTCCCTTTAGCTCGCCATCTTTTGTAACAAGTGTCATATTGTGTTAGTCCGCTAGGGACCCGTTTTCATTGTATTATGTTTCTAATCCCTACCTATACTGTGTACATGTTTGTATCTTGTGTTATCATTTTAAATTAGTAAATAAATAAAAAATCAATTTTTGTGGTACAGAATGATCAGTAAGACCCGGGTTCGTGCAGACTTAAAGAGCCTACGACTTTCAGAATGAGACTGATATGAGGTAAAGGATTAATAAATGACTGTGAAATGATAAGCGATATCTAGATCTCTTTAGAGTTAATTCGGGAAGCGGTAACTCATTAAACAACTTTTCGCGTGGTGCCCCAAATTCCTATTGAGTTAATTGTGACATGATTTATTTAATCTAGTAACAATTAAACATAGTAGGTAATTATTAGATAAATAATTGTCATCACAATAATGAAAGTCACGTCATGACACCCTATAACCTAACTCCTAACCCTAACATTAACCCCTAACCTCCCGTATCTCCCGAGTGGCGCAGTGGTCTGTGCCACTAGAGATCCTGGTTCGAATCCAGGCTCTGTCGTAGCCGGGAGACCCATGGGGTGGCGCACAATTGGCCTAGCGTCGTCCAGGGTAGGGGAGGGAATGGCCGGCAGGGATGTAGCTCAGTTGGTAGAGCATGGCGTTTGCAACGCCAGGGTTGTGGGTTCGATTCCCACAGGGGGCCAGTATGATTTTTTTTTTTTTCTATATATAAAAAAAAATGTATGCACTCACTGGATAAGAGCGTCTACTTAAATGTAAATGTACCCTATCAAATTTTATTTGTCACATGCGCCGAATACAAAAGGTGTAGACATTACCATGAAATGCTTACTTACAAGCCCTTAACCAACAATGCAGTTCAAGAAATAGAGTTAAGAAAATATTTACTAAATAAACTAAAGTAAAAAAAATAAACAATAGAAATATGTAACAATAAAATAACAATAACGAGGCTATATACAGGGGGTACTGGCACCAAGTCAATGTGCGGGGGTACAGGTTAGTCGAGGTAATTTGTACATGTAGGTAGGGGTAAAGTGACTATGCATAGATAATAAACGGGGGGGGGGGGGGGGTTAACGATCAGCTCCATTGAGGGAGAGGTTGTTGTACTGGCACCACACTGCCAGATCTCTGACCTCCTCCCTATAGGCTGTCTCATCGTTGTCGGTGATCAGGCCTACCACTGTTGTGTCATCAACAAACTTAATGATGGTGTTGGAGTCGTGTTTGGGCACGCAGTCATGGGTGAACAGGGAGTACAGGAGGGGACTAAGCACGCACCCCTGAGGGGCCCCAGTATATCATGCTAAAGCAGTCAAAAGTAGCATATCATACTAAACTGTCAAGATGTAGGATACTATACGTCCTACAATTCATATTATATTGTACGACTGCTATTACATATTTAGGCTAATGTAACCTAAAGTAACATATCATTCTAAATGGAGTGGCGTGGATTTTTGTAAAATATAATACATTTTACTCTGAGACCAGGTTGTCATGGCACTGCCACTACAAGACTACAGTACAAACCTACGGAGCAGCAAGAGGAACTGCCCATCTCTACCTTCAGACTATGCTCAAACCCTACACCCCAACCCGAGCACTTCGTTCTTCCACCGCTGGTCTCTTGGCCCTCCCACCCCTACACTCAGCCCAGTCCAAGCTCTTCTCTGTCCTTGCACCGCAATGGTGGAACCAGCTTCCCCCTGAAGCTAGGACAGCAGAGTCCCTGTCCATCTTCCGAAAACATCTGAAACCCTACCTCTTCAAAAAGTATCTTAGGGTATATTTCCCTTTTTTAGGGCAATGTGAACACAAAGCTCCCCAGGTTCGCTTGTCACTATTCCCGCACCACACACTAGACTACTCCAAGACCGTTTCCCCTGACATAACCCCTCACATTGGTGCCACAAAAGAGAGAAGATGATGGTGTGCAGGTTCGCGGGAAAACAATTGTGCTGTTTTTGGATATTGATTAGTGATTGTCAAGGATGCACAGAAATTCCAAAAGTTTTTAGTTCACATTATTTGTTAGCAATATGTGATCTATAGGCTAAGAGAGCTTCACAAGCTGTTCATTGATTGTGGGGTTTGAATAGTGTGAGAAGACAACAACCTATTTGTTATGAATCAAAACAAAGGGTACAACATTTATTCTAGCTCTTAAAGGGGCAGTAGCCTACCTTGGGTGCACAATTTTACTTTTAGCATTATTTATTCTGCATTTATTCCATTGCTATTTATTCTGTTAGCAATCAAATGTACATCTTAATTGTATCTTCTGATTACAATTATTATGTCTCATACTTTAATTAAATTCAATCTATTAGCTTCCAAAATGTAAGTAGGTACAGTATATCTAGCTGTCCATAACACATTCTGATTGAATGGCTTGTCCTGCACTTTGTAAAAACCCAGAGTTCATGTTGGAAAAAGATCTTGGTTCCTTTCTAAGTATAGCAATGTGAATGCAAAAAGGACTCGGTCCACAAACTAGGTGAAGTGAACTGGCAAAAGAGTTGTCCTCATTCAAAGGCAAGGGCAGTGTGAACACAAAGAGGACTGAGTTCTTTTTCTTTCTTTTTTTTACCCTAGAGTTCACTTTAAAGAGGACTGAGATATATATATTTTTTAAGAGGACTATATTTGAAAACACCCTTAAATAATTTTTACTGGTTTACTGACATGATCTGTGTTTTTGAGTGAGAATATTTTACTGTACCTTTGCCATCTATCTCTCCTGGACGTGGGTCCCGTGTTGTATCTGTAAGGACACATTCAGTGAGCATCAATTCAACATCCATCCTATTCTGTGATCATGTGATACAGAATGATATCAATAACCTCAACCTCTCAATGCAATGCAAGACAACCCTAACTGCATGCGGTTTCTTTTGTGTTCAGTGGTCTTCCTCGTGGTCCAGTCGCACCCTACTTCCTATGAAAAGTAGCCTGTGGTTAGATAAGGCTGAGGCAGTTGGGATAGATACCGCTGCCCTACTGCTGGAGACTGCGTCTGGTGACACAACACGTACGTGACACGCTGAAGCCGAAGACTCCCTTGTAGTCCTTCAGTAGCCTCTTCAGCAGGGTGCTCTTCCCTGCCCCTGAGGGGCCGCTTATGACAACAGGCCTGGGTCCTGACATAACACTGGCGGAGAGGGAGAGGAGGATTGAATAAAATGAAAGAGTGAAAATCATTAAGAGTGTGAAAAGCTATACTTTACATTGAATAGTGAAAGCTGGTTCTCAATTGAACTAACTACTTTTCTATAGAAAAATGTGTGGATGTGATATGCATAATAACAAATTGCTTCTTACGAATTGCATCTTTCTTTCTTGGTCGACTGAACTTTCGTTATTTCCTGTTGAGACAAATATAAGAATATCGAGTTTAGTTACAAACCCGTCACATAAATATGGCTCAACACCTACTGCCGACCACAGGAGATTGGTGGCACCTTAACTGTGGAGGACCCGCTCATGGTAATGGCTTGAGCGGAATAGCTGGATTGATATCATCTACATCAAACACGTGGTTTCCATGTGTTTGATACCATTCCATTAACTCCGTTCCAGCCATTATTATGAGCCGTCCTCCCCTCAGCAGCCTCCACTGCTACCGACTGACTGACATTTAGAGAATTATACTTTGTCCCCATACTACATGCAGACAACCATCCTCTCTTCAGCCTCACCTCAATAAGAACACTTTGCAACTTCTCATAGGCCTCCTCTAAGTCATCATTGACAATAAGCATGTCAAACACTCCTGGCTCGTTGCCTAAAATAGGAGAGTGGTAAATTAATTATGAAATCACTTTGTTAAAGGCATAGCGCAGATAATTATTTGTTCCATCCATCTCCAAACATTTGTAGTATGGCCATGTCTACATGGGACAGTGCGGGGAACCTACTGAGCTCCATGTCAACCCGTGCTGCCGCCAGACGCTTCTGCAGACTCTCCTCTGTCTCAGTATTTCTGTCCCTCAGACGCTTTTCCTGTAAACATCAATGGTCCCCAAAATGATTACAAGTTGTACATTTCAAGAACACATTTCAAGAGTCTCATATCACCAGCTCAAGTATGACCAGCTCGGTCTTATAGACTAGACGTTACATAGTCAACATAAATCCGGAACACTGATATTAGTATGCTATGTTACGTTTTGTATGGTACCATAAATAAGACCTAAAGAAAAGTATGGGAATTGGTCGCGGTGGACGTGTGGGAGTATAACGCGAATGTCTAGCAACCCAAAGGTTGCAAGTTTGAATCTCATCATTGACAACTTTAGCATTTTAGCTAATTAGCAACTTTTCAACTACTTACTATTTTTTAGCTACTTTGCAACTACTTAGCATGTTAGCTAACTCTTCCCTTAACCCTAACTTTAACCCTTTTAGCTAGCCCTTCACCTAACCCTAACCCCAACCTTAACCCTTTAACCTAACTCCTAAACTTAAACTTAACCCTAACCTTAACCCTAACCCCGAGCCTAGCTAACATTAGTCAGCTACCCACCTATTTGGAATTCGTAGCCTATCATAGGTTTAGCAAATTCATAACATATTGTACATTTAGCTAATTTGTAACATATTGTACGTTATGCAAATTCGTAACATATAATACGAATTGTAATTTGTAACATATCATACGTAATGGGTGATGGACATCCACAAATTAATATATACCATACAAAACGTAACATATCATACCAAATGGTGTGTCTCGGATTTACGCACAGAATAATACGAAATGCTCTGAGACCAGGTTGGGATGACATGTCTAAGGATTATTATCATATAGAGAAAATAATAGGGGTCCAAGCTCAAAACCTTAAGAAACGCCAAAATACATAGTAGAACTCTCTGCGTTGTATGATTGTTGACTTGTTACAGAGTTTACAGCCGCAGAGCCACGATAGTCTGTATTCCATTGCGACATATATCTGCACCTCAATAAGAGTATATCAAATGAGGTTCATAAATGTTTCCTGATGGGCCATGTGGACTATGGCAGCTCTGAAATCTGAATTGGGCTTTACCAGGATCTCAATAGAGGGGGGCTGGATAGAAACATAGATGGGGTCCAGATCAGTCTCCTTGATATTCCTCACTCCCTGGATCTCCACATCTAGGATGCAGATGAGGCCCTTGGCCCTCACCTCATCTACAGAAGACTTGCTGTGTAGAAAATAGACAACATAAGTTATGTTCATTCATTGTTTCACGATTCCATTGAACAGCACAAGAACATAATGCACATTTCCACTTAGATATGTACAATAGGCTTATAACAGGGGATGAGGGGTGACACATTACACCAGTGACTATTCCTCACATGCTAAAGTATGGCTAGGGTAAGAGAATAGTAACATTAATCCAAACACCAAAAGCTAATATCAGGGTCCAGTGGTTCTCCATTAGTGTCAAGACTTATCCTCAGCAGGGGAGGGAGGGACATATTAAGCATGACACTGCAGGTGCTGAGCTCTGTGTGCTATCCAGTGCTATCATGATATGTACACTGCATAGGGAACACTAAAATAACACATCCTAGATCTGAATGAATGAAATAATCTTATTAAATACTTTTTTCTTTACATAGTTGAATGTGCTGAAAACAAAATCACACAAAAATTATCAATGGAAATCAAATTTATCAACCCATGGAGGTCTGGATTTGGAGTCACACTCAAAATTAAAGTGGAAAACCACACTAAAGGCTGATCCTACTTTGAAGTAATGTCCTTAAAACAAGACAAAATGAGGCTCAGTAGTGTGTGTGGCCTCCACGTGCCTGTATGACCTCCCTACAACGCCTGGGCATGCTCCTGATGAGGTGGCGGATGGTCTCCTGAGGGATCTCCTCCCAGACCTGGACTAAAGCATCCGCCAACTCCTGGACAGTCTGTGGTGCAACGTGGCGTTGGTGGATGGAGCGAGACATGATGTCCCAGATGTGCTCAATTGGATTCAGGTCTGGGGAACGGGCGGTCCATAGCATCAATGCCTTCCTCTTGCAGGAACTGCTGACACACTCCAGCCACATGAGGTCTAGCATTGTCTTGCATTAGGAGGAACCCAGGGCCAACCGTACCAGCATATGGTCTCACAAGGGGTCTGAGGATCTCATCTCGGTACCTAATGGCAGTCAGGCTACCTCTGGCGAGCACATGGAGGGCTGTGCGGCCCCCCAAAGAAATACCCTCATAGAGTCTGTTTCTGACCGTTTAAGCAGACACATGCACATTTGCGGCCTGCTGGAGGTCTTTTTGCAGGGCTTTGGCAGTGCTCCTCCTGCTCCTCCTTGCACAAAGGCGGAGGTAGCGGTCCTGCTGCTGGGTTGTTGCCCTCCTACGGCCTCCTCCACGTCTCCTGATGTACTGGCCTGTCTCCTGGGAACGCCTCCATGCTCTGGACACTACGCTGACAGACACAGCAAACCTTCTTGCCACAGCTCGCATTGATGTGCCATCCTGAATGAGCTGCACTACCTGAGCCACTTGTGTGGGTTGTAGACTCTGTCTCATGCTACCACTAGAGTGAAAGCACCACCAGCATTCAAAAGTGACCAAAACATCAGCCAGGAAGCATAGGAACTGAGAAGTGGTCTGTGGTCACCACCTGCAGAACCACTCCTTTATTGGGGGTGTCTTGCTAATTGCCTATAATTTCCACCTGTTGTCTATTCCATTTGCACAACAGCATGTGAAATGTATTGTCAATCAGTGTTGCTTCCTAAGTGGACAGTTTGATTTCACAGAAGTGTGATTGACTTGGAGTTACATTGTGTTGTTTAAGTGTTCCCTTTATTTTTTTGAGCAGTGTATAATGGAGGAAAAAGCTCATTCTGTCCCCGGCCTGTCTCTTTGCTAATCCAGGTATCACAATGGACCAGACCTTAAAACCTCTTAAGGATCGGACCCTTTTTTTCAATTTTCGCCTAAAATGACATACCCAAATCTAACTGCCTGTAGCTCAGGACCTGAAGCAAAGATATGCATATTCCTGATACCATTTGAAAGGAAACACTTTGAAGTTTGTGGAAATGTGAAATTAATGTAGGAGAATAAAACACATTAGATCTGGTAAAAGATAATACAAACAAAAAAACATGAGTTTTCAAAAAAAAAATGTCCCATCATCTTTGAAATGCAAGAGAAAGGCCCCAATATAATATTGCAGTTTAGGCGCAATTTAGATTTTGGCCATGAGATGGTAGCAGTGAGTCTGCAAAGTTTCAGATTGATCCAGTGAAGCATTGCAATACTGTACTATTTTGTATCAAGTCTGCCCAAATGTGCCGAATTGGTTAATTGATACCTTTTAAAGTACATAACTATAGAGAACATACAAAAATGATATTGTAATACAAAATGTAAAGTTGAAGTCGGAAGTTTACATACACTTAGGTTGGAGTCATTAAAACTCATTTTTCAACCACTCCACACATTTCTTGTTAACAAACTATAGTTTTGGCAAGTCAGTTAGGACATCTACTTTGTGCATGACACAAGTAATTTTTCCAACAATTGTTTACAGACATATTATTTCACGTATAATTCACTGTATCACAATTCCAGTGGGTCAGAATTTTACATACACTAAGTTGACGGTGCCTTTAAACAGCTTGGACAATTCCAGAAAATTATGTCATGGCATAGGAAGCTTCTGATAGGTTAATTGACATAATTGGAGTCAATTGAAGGTGTACCTGTGGATGTACTTCAAGGCCTACCTTCAAACTCAGTGCCTCTTTGCTAGACATCATGGGAAAATCAAAAGAAATCAGCCAAGACCTCAGAAGAAAAATTGTAGACCTCCACAAGTCTGGTTCATCCTTGGGAGCATTTTCCAAATGCCGGAAGGTACCACGTTCATCTGTACAAACAATAGCACGCAAGTATAAATACCATGGGACCATGCAACTGTCATACCGCTCAGGAAGGAGACGCGTTCTGTCTCCTAGAGATTAACGTACTTTGGTGCGAAAAGTGCAAATCAATCCCAGAACAACAGCAAAGGACCTTGTGAAGATACTGGAGGAAACAGGTACAAAAGTATCTATATCCACAGTAAAACAAGTCCTATATCGACATCACCTGAAAGGCCGCTCAGCAAGGAAGAAGCCACTGCTCCAAAACCGCCACTACGGTTTGCAACTGCACATTGGGACAAAGATCATACTTTTTGGAGAAATGTCCTCTTGTCTGATGAAACAAACATAGAACTATTTGCCCATAATGACCATCGTTATGTTTGGAGGAAAAAGGGGGTGCTTGCAAGCCGAAGAACACCATCCCAACTGTGAAGCACGGGGGTGGCAGCATCATGCTGTGGGGGTGCTTTACTGCAGGAGGGACTGGTGCACTTCACAAAATAGATGGCATCATGAGGAAGGAAAATGATGTGGATATATTGAAGCAACATCTCAAGACATAAGTCAGGAAGTTAAAGCTTGGTCGCAAATGGGTCTTCCAAATGGACAATGACCCCAAGCATACTTCAAAAGTTGTACCAAAATGGCTTTAGGACAACAAAGTCAAGGTATTGGAGTGGCCATCACAAAGCCCTGAACTCAATCCTATAGAAAATGTGTGGGCAGAACTGAAAAAGTGTGTGCGAGCATGGAGGCCTACAAACCTGACTCAGTTACACCAGCTCTGTCAGGAGGAATGGGCCAAAATTCACCCAAATTATTGTGGGAAGCTTGTGGAAGGCTACCCAAAACGTTTGACCCAAGTTAAACAATTTAAAGGCAATGCTACCAAATGCTAATTGAGTGTATGTAAACATCTGACCCACTGGGAATGTGATGAAATAAATAAAAGCTGAAATAAATCATTCTCTCTACTATTATTCTGACATTTCGCATTCTTAAAATAAAGTGGTGATCCTAAATGACCTAAGACAGGGAATTTTTACTAGGATTAAATGTCAGGAATTGTGAATATGAGTTTAAATGTATTTGGCTAAGGTGTATGTAAACTTCCGACTTCACCTGTAAGTTTACACACTCCCAGGAATGTCATACATGATGGATCATTAGCTTATACACTAACTTTCACACATCTAGATGGCCGGGCGGGGTGGGTGTGGAGCCAGAGACAGCAGGGGTTCAAACTGTAGAACCCAGTTCCTACATTCAAATATAAAAATGGATTTTATCAAACAAAACTGTGCTACATTTTATCTCTGGGATCCTTAGGATGACAAATCCGAGGAAGATGATTGAATGTAAGTACATTATTTACCTTCAGAGGTGAATGTATCAAACCAGTTGCCGTGATAAGTTTTTTGTTGTTGTGCACTCTCCTCAAACAATAGCATGGTATTTTTTCACTGTAATAGCTACTGTAAATTGGACAGTGCAGTTAGATTAACAAGGATTTAAGCTTTCTGCCCATATAAGTCATGTCTATGTCCTGGAAAGTTTGCTGTTACTTACAACAGTCATGCTAATCACATTAGCGCACGTTAGCTCAACCGTCCCGTATACGGGACACCGATCCCATAGAGGTTAAAGATATCTTCACAAAGCCATGACAGGAGAATACCCTACTGGATTCTAGTCACCAGTGGAACAAGTACTGTTCTTGTTCATTTTGATGTATCAATATCACCGGTAGGGAGAACTTAAAACCCAATCAGCTAGCATACTGTTCCAAAACTCCAGTAATGTTCCCAAAATGATCAGGTTTTCCATAAATCCCAGTTGGAGAATACCTGTATTTCCTGATTGTTCCCTCCTGATTCCAGGAATCCTCCATCTGGGATTTCTAGAAAGCCTGAGAATTTTGGGGAAGTCACCACCAGAACTTTGCAACCTTAAATGTAAGATATTTTGGTGTCAACAGAATGTATCAACATGTACTCTACCTTGTTCCATACAGGTTGCCGGAAAACTCAGCATTCTCAATGTATTTCCCATCATCAATATCCTCCTGCATAGCCTCCCTGTTTGAGAAGTGGTAATCTTCAAATGGACAGGAGAATAGAATAATCAATTCATTGTCAATCAGGCTTGAACGCAGAATTTAAGTTACAAAACCAGCTTGATTCAAATTCAGGAGAGTGTCACTGATATCCTTCTGGGTTTACTGACATGATCTGTGTTTATGAGTCAGAGAATGTTACTGTACCTTTGCCATCTACCTCTCCTGGACGTGGACTCCTTGTTGTATCTGTAAGGACACATTCAGTGAACATCAACATCCATCATCAACATCCATCATCAACATCCATCATCAACATCCATCATCATCAACATCCATCATCAACATCCATCATCAACATCCATCATCAACCTCCATCATCAACCTCCATCATCAACATCCATCATCAACATCCATCATCAACATCCATCATCAACATCCATCATCAACATCCATCATCAACCTCCATCATCAACATCCATCATCAACATCCATCATCAACCTCCATCATCAACATCCATCATCAACATCCATCATCAACATCCATCATCAACATCCATCATCAACATCCATCAACAACCTCCATCATCAACAACATCCATCATCAACAACCTCCATCATCATCAACATCCATCATCAACATCCATCATCAACCTCCATCATCAACATCCATCATCAACATCCATCATCAACATCTATCATCAACATCCATCATCAACATCCATCAACAACCTCCATCATCAACAATCTCCATCATCATCAACATCCATCATCAACATCCATCAACAACATCCATCATCAAAATCCATCATCGACATCCATCAACACTATCCATCATCAACCTCCATCATCAACATCCATCATCAACACCCAATCATATGGAAGGCTATCAACAACCTCAACCTCTGAATTATGTGCAATCAAAGACATGCCATGCAACCCTAAAGGTATGCTGGTTCTTCTATGTTTGGTGGTCTTCATTGAAGCCAACAAGAAAAGGAATGGAAATAGAGGACATCCTTGTCTCGTACCAGTCAGCGCAACCATAACTAGTTATAATTGCACTTGGATATGGACTGGATACAGAGCTATCCCACATAAAAATCCTTTGACAAACTTGGCCTAGAGTTAGATAAGGCTGAGAGTATCGATAGATAGGGCTTAATGCTGTCCCACTTCCTCCCAGACAGGATATTGGGGTAGGAGCCAAGAAACACAAACGTACGTGACACGCTGAAGCCGAAGACTCCATCATAATCCCTCAGCAGCATCTTCATAAGAGTGCTCTTCCCTGCCCCTGAGGGGCCGCTCAGAACAACCGGCCTGGGTCCTGACATAACACTGGCGGAGAGGGAGAGAGGAAGTATAATGAATGATCCAGTGAAAACCCTTTCATACAGTGACATAGTGTTCATTTAGCTAACCCTTTCATACTGTGACATAGTGTTCAGTTAGCTAACCCTTCCATACTATGACATAGTGTTCATTTAGCTAACCCTTTCATACTGTGACATAGTGTTCATTTAGCTAACCCTTTCATACTGTGACATAGTGTTCATTTAGCTAACCCTTTAATACTGTGACATAGTGTTCATTTAGCTAACCCTTTCATACTGTGACATAGTGTTCATTTAGCTAACCCTTTCATACTATGACATAGTGTTCATTTAGCTAACCCTTTCATACTATGACATGGTGTTCATTTAGCTAAACATTTGATACACGCTTTGGGGTAATTTGGGCATTAAAATAAAACATGCTAACTTTTGGACAGAAATTATCAAATTAGCATTGGTGCCAGCAGCCAGGTAAACAGAAAAAAACATTACTGTCTCTCTATGTCCAGAGAGTACTTATAGGGTAACCAATATGTTATTTTGTAATTTGGGTCAACAATGCCTTTACAGCTTTTTACGTATGTATGTCTTTCCACTACTGATTTCTGAGAAAGCTACAGTATGTCCTACATACTTATACGTAAACAGTGCAGTTTTAGTTTTGACCTCTACATGGACCTTGTGCTTTTGTCTTAGTGGATTACCTAGGAGATCTGTATGCGCTGTACCAGTGCACTCAGTCCACTCATTAACTCTGATGCCTTGAGGTCAAAGTGTCAGTCTGACTTCTGTCGAAGTCTGTACACGTTTGTGTGACAATAGCAACCATCTATGTAGAGTAGTGAAGACTGGTGTGTGTAGCCTTTCACTTTTCAGTAGCCTACCACTGTCTAGCCTGACCATACCACAACCAGGTACAGATATACCAAACAAAAGGGAATCAAGCACTATCAGGTCTTCTTCTGTAACCTTCAAAATAACCCTCTCTTGCCCAGATTAAGTCTGGCTAACTCCACTCTCAGGAGCCAATCTGCTTGGAGGCTAACCAGCTAGCGAGCCTATGACTGAGCAGCTCTTCCTCTGGCACCAGGCTCAGACGCCAGCGCTAATCCACTGATCCAGGGAATAATCTACTCTGATTTAATGGCTACGGCACGATGATAGATGGGGGGACAGCCATGTGACTGCACATCAGGACCACACAGGGACCACACATCGAGAGTGTCAAGAGGTTAAAGGGTTAAACACAAAACCCACAGAAACATGAAGAGAAATTCCAGCAAATAGCCCTGACTGTTTAATCTAGCAGGAGGTCATAATCAGTACTATAATTTAGCTCATGCATGTGCTGCCATTCCAGTAACACTCTGTCAGCACTATGGGAATTATGTAATTCTTCCATGAAACCAACATTGTGGTCACAGAAAATTCTCCACAGATTTCGGAAAATCTGTGTTTTGTTTTTTTGCCCCTAATTTGTGGCACAATCAGATGTGTTGGTGCCACTCAGGCAGTTAAAATTATTATTGAGGACCTCTATGTAGTTGAACGTGATTGCTTTTATTAAATATGTTTATTTTGTGTGCTGAATTATATTGATTAATACACATATATGTGTATGTTGTTTTATTATTCTGGTTTTATTGTAATGTAAACAGGGCTTTCTTGTAAAATAGATGTTTAATCTCATTGTGACTCCCTGTTTAAATAAAGGTTCAATAAAATTAAATTAATCACTTTAGCAAAAGCCCAACTCAACATTATGCAAATGCATTGGAATGCACTTTGATTAAGCAGGTTGGATGATAGGACTTTGTAAGAAGGATTAGGAATAGATTTCACGGTCCAGTACAGACAGGTAGCATGCTCGCCTTTTAATTAAGTAAATTCGGGTCAATGAGGACGATTAATAGGAAGTGGTCCAAATGGAACACCCGGCACAGAGCTGCGACAATACCGTATATCTGCGTCAACACCATATATATGCCTGCAGAAAGTCATATTGGTGGGTCTATTGTGACCCAGATATAAACCATGTTGAAATAGGCGAATTTCAAGTCAATCAGTAGTGGCAAAACATCCAAGGTCAGAGGTTGATCGCTCTTCATCCTGTTGCTGAAATGATGTTGTTGCTGACGGTAGAGTCAATGGCTAATCAGCCAGTCTGTCCTATTTCTGGTCCTGGTTGACTCTCTATATCAATGTGGTCCTGAACATTCAATGATGTTGCATGGGTATAGCACACTAGACTGTCAAACTGATTTACTTATTTAATTGGAGGGGATACCAGAATCCACTCTAAAAGATCCATAGACCCTTGAAACATTACAACCCAGATTCCTGTCTGCTGACCTTAGTTGGGGTTTTTGGTGAAAAGTGCTATGGGATTATTGGCCATAATTTAATAATTAAGTAAAGGGTCTATTGCCTACCCCTTAAGAGGACTCAACTTCACAAAGACAACAAAACTGTTACTGCATTTAGGTACCTGATATTATACCAAATCATTGTATAACCTTTGTCAATATTTAGGTAGCATCTTACTAATGCACAAAACGTATATCTCCAAGCACAGCAACAAAAGAAGGACAGCACCATAACGTAAAAACTCTTTACACCAAATAATAATAATAATAACTGCACCTGTTTCTGACTCCCAAACGTCTATATGGAGTCTATAAACACTAGTACAGTAAGTCATTTCTGGTTTAAATTGATTACTGAAGAAAGAACTCTTGATGTCCTCTAGTTCTGTACCTGCTACCCTGCACTCTTAGAAAGAAAAGGTGTCATCTAGAACCTGGCTGTCCCCATAGGAGAACCCTTTGAATAACTGTTTTTGGTTGCAGATAGAACCCTTTTAGTTCCAGGTAGAACCATTTTCTACAGAAGGTTCTACATGGAACCCAAAAGGGTTCTAGCTGGAACCAAAAAGGGTTCACCTATGGGGACAACCGAAAACCTTTTTTTCGAAGAGTGTATAGTATATTAGCTATGTCTGTCCTACAGTATACTAGCTATGCCTGTCCTACAGTATATTAGCTATGCCTGTCCTACAGTATATTAGCTATGTCTGTCCTACAGTATATTAGCTATGTCTGTCCTACAGTATATTAGCTATGTCTGTCCTACAGTATATTAGCTATGCCTGTCCTACAGTATATTAGCTATGCCTGTCCTACAGCATATTAGCTGTGCCTGTCCTACAGTATATTAGCTATGCCTGTCCTACAGCATATTAGCTGTGTCTGTCCTACAGTATATTAGCTATGTCTGTCCTACAGTATATTAGCTATGCATGTCCTACAGTATATTAGCTATAACTGTCCTACAGTATAGTAGCTGTGCCTGTCCTACAGTATATTAGCTATGCCTGTCCTACAGTATATTAGCTATGCCTGTCCTACAGTATATTAGCTATGCCTGTCCTACAGTATATTAGCTATGCCTGTCCTACAGTATATTAGCTATGCCTATCCTACAGTATACTAGCTATGCCTGTCCTATAGTATTTTAGCTATGCCTGTCCTACAGTACATTAGCTATGCCTGTCCTACAGTATATTAGCTATGCCTGTCCTAAAGTACATTAGCTATGCCTGTCCTACAGTACATTAGCTATGTCTGTCCTACAGTATATTAGCTATGCCTATCCTACAGTATACTAGCTATGCCTGTCCTACAGTATATTAGCTATGCCAGTCCTACAGTATATTAGCTATGCCAGTCCTACAGTTTATTAGCTATGCCTGTCCTACAGTATACTAGCTATGCCTGTCCTACAGTATATTAGCTATAACTGTCCTACAGTATATTAGCTATGCCTGTCCTACTGTATATTAGCTATGTCTGTCCTACAGTATATTAGCTATGTCTTTCCTACATCGTTAAAGTTGTATATTTGTCTTACCTTCTCTCAGTGCCAGTGTTGTGTGGCTGTAGAGGAGATTTCTCAGAGTGATTGGGATGGAGGAGAGAGCATGTACGGGTGTGTGAGGTGAGTGTGTGAGAAGTGTGTCTAGGTGTGTGTGTGTGTGTGTGTGTGTGTGTGTGTGTGTGTGTGTGTGTGTGTGTGTGTGTGTGTGTGTGTGTGTGTGTGTGTGAGGTGTGTGTGTGTTTGTGTGTGTGTGTGTGACGTGTGGCTAGGTGTGTGTTCGTCACACTGATTGACAGAGACAGCTTACTGCCAGCATCAATTACCACCTCCTCCCATCAGCTCATCGGCCATTCGCACACCGGCATGCTGGCCTTGTTTATCTGTACAATCCAAACAGGTAGCGGCTTAATTACTTCAGGTCATCATGACTGGCTCCGTTGGCTCTATCTTCCCCACGATTAAGGCCTCGCAGCTCTGTCAGAACAGTGTAGCAGTACCTCTCTTAATCCATTGGTTGACCAATGTATTACTGGTCAAGAAAGTTGTCCTCCTCAGCGCTTCGCTACCAAACACTGTTTAATGATAAACCTTAATGAAGGAGGAAATGTGATTAAGGGTAACAAAAGGCAGCCCATCATCTACTTTACATACCACAGCCACAGTCAGAGGTATAGACCATGTTTTTTAAAACTTTTAAAAACTTTTTTAGCAGGTTGGTCAGCTTTAATATTGCAGATAGATTGTGGCTTCTATCAATGTAATTGTCTGCATAATTTCCAATCCCCATTTAGTTTTTGGGTAAATATATGTATTATTTTTATTTTACTTTATTAATTTCCCCTAAACCTACCACCCCTCCCCTAATTGGAGTAAACGAATTAAATATATTTTCCTTCTTTATTATTTTCCCCTAATCCTACCACCCCTTCCCTAATTGGAGTAAACTAATGGACAACAATACTTAGGCTTCCACCTCCAGTTTATACATACTACATACATTTCACGGACAGTATATTTTCCATTAGTTATCTTTTGTTTGTTTTTAGTCCCAGCCTTCAGCAACCCTCAACCCCTCCCATCTATCTCTGAAGACCCACCAATTTTGATTTCTAGCTGCCATATATATTTCCACTGTGCTTTGATGTTTCACAAAAGTTCTGAACCTTTCTATTCTTATAGTTTCTACATATTGTAAATTAAAGATAAACACCTTTGCTAAGAGTGTTATTAAATTATTGATCGATTGACTGTGACTTTTCAAATCACCCAACAGTGCTATTTGCAAAGTCAGCTCCAGGTAAACTATGCCATTTTTCAGCTATTCCTGAACCTGCGACCAAAAACAAGTTACATATGGGCAGTAATAAAGGGAAATATATATATTTTAAAGGATATGTATATATATGTATGTATATGTATTTATATGTATGTGTATATGTATGTGTATGTATGTATATGTATATATATACATTTGCGAGAAAAAAACATATGGGGGATTGGAAGTTTACATTGATGGAAGTTACAATCTATCTGCAATTTTAAAGCTGATCTACCCCCTAAAAAAAAAATATATATACATATGGGCAGTACCAACACAAGTGATCTAATGATTATGTCTCTTCGCAACAAAATCTGCAGAGCTGGGATGGTTGTATCCCCCATATATATAACATTCTATTGGTTTCAAGAATTTTGTATGATAATTTTAATTGAAAACTCAACGTTTTGAATCCGGAGTCATTTTGTGTATCAGTTCATAGACCACGGGGTCATGGAATCGGTACGTCGAAAATCTCCTCCTCAACTATTTTGCAACCTGTATGGCGCAGCTGTCAATATTCGTCCTTAAATTAAGCTGTTTTACTTTTTATTTATCACAATTTTCTTTAGCCAATTTTGGTCATTAATGCAGGGCCAACATACAAGTTCCTTACCTTCTCCCCTTTCCATTTGCCTCCTCCATTTTTGCGGTAATGCTGCAATCAGTTGGTTGTAATTTTGGACAGAGCAGACATTTCCATATGTGACGTAACTCCACCAGTCCTATTTATGATACTGTATCATTAACAAAGGTTTTACGTTTTTATTTTTTATTTTATTTTTTTATTTGCATATTTCAGTTTAACCATAATATTTGTTCTAATATTTGTTCTGTCTTTTCTGATGGATTAAACAGAAATTGCAACCAGCTTTCTATTGCTTGTTTTAAAAATAGCAATATTTTGGAGATAGACCGTATAGACCGTGTTTGATCTAGTAGATTTGCAGTCGGTATGTAAGAGGTAGCTGTCCTGTTATGGTTGCAGTTACATGTGACACTGGTGTCACATAGAGGATGGATCCAGATGCCCCCTCACAGATACACCCCTCTCTCCCGTCTCAGGTGATGGTATAACATGTGTTGTTACATGTGAGACTGGTGTTACAAACTCAAATCATGGAGGGCCGAGTGTCTGGAGGTTTTCGCTCCTCCCTTGTACCTGATTGATGAATTAAGGTCATTGATTAGTTAGTAACTCCCCTCACCTGGTTGTCTAGGGCTTAATTGAAAGCAAAAACCAAACACCAGCAGACACACGGCCTTCCGGGTTTGACACCCCTGATGTAGATAGAGGATGGGTCCTGATGCTACTTATGCCTTATTGTGAAGGCTTTTACTTTTAGCTCAGCCCATGAAAATAGTCCCCTCCTCTGTCTTCCTTCTCTCTCTCCATCCCTCCTTCCTTCCCTAGCGGGTCAGACTCTTAGCTAATATATCCTTTGTCTTGGCAGGAACAGTGGATGGTCGGAACCTGAATAAAGCTCAGAATAGCAGGATTGAATGTCCTAGTCTTGACCTGACCAGGGCTAATCCTGAAGTGGTCCAATTGTTTCTTAAAGGACAATCACAAACACATATAACAAGGCTCTGGATTGGCCAGATCTACAATGCAAGGGCTGCTTGGCTTTTAATTATGGGACAAATCACACCATAGAGAAGGGCAACAGGTCAGGACTTATTCTTAGGCAATATTCTTGCCTACAGGGCTTTGAACATAATTTAGATCAAGAGAATTCGGTAAAACTTCATAATAACTTTCAGGAATAAGCATTCATTAACTAAATAAGTATTACATTTTTTTGTTGTAAAATTACAATTTATATGAGCATAACATCAGTAATAATTTACAAAGCATTTCTAAACATGTATAAGGATGTATCATGGCTAACCAGTGGTCATCAAAGTTATAATAAAGCAAGATTATGGTGGTGATCGTTAACATTGTACACACATTGGATCTTCAATGATATCTACAGTATGTTTGTATATATTTATGCAATAACCAACATCTTTTTAAACGCCTCATTTTATTTTTGTAACATTTACTAATTACACTTTGTACTCCTGTACAAAGAAACACAACCTCAATGACAAACACAAAATAATGAATCTCAAACTATTGCAATTGTTATGTTCACACTTTCTTCCCACCCTAACTAACCAAAACCATGACTTCATAAGAACATGACTGTAAACACAATGGCAGTGTTAATCTATTTCACATACATAATTTCTAACATACACAAAATTATTTGCATGTGTTTTCTCTTGATAAAAACAGACAATTATTATTTTCAAAAGTGTATACCGCTTTGTATAATATATAATTATAGTACAAAGAGTGTCACAAACTTGTTTTGATCTAAAGCCATTTGAAAGCATTCTTTCAGTGCCTTAGCACTAAGATTACTTGAGTTCTTGTCATTTACGTACAAATTGTAATTGTATTGAGCACAGAGTCCTCCTCTTAGAAATGGCTTGGCTCACTAAATGTTGAGGTGAGCTTGGTACAAATGAATGCCATCTAGGTGGGCAAACCAAAGGTCAAATGTCAAACCTAAAAGGTCATATGACATAAAGACTGATCATTGTGCAATACCCAGTCATGGGTGCCATTTTGTCCTCATGGGGTGTCCCCCTACTTGGTTTGGGATGGGGGTTAGGGGGTAGGTTAAGGTGCAAAGACGAGGGTAATCTCTGACAAGCCAGCTGTCCTTACGTCCCCTTCAAAGGTCAAAGGTTAATACTTCAGATATCCCGCCCCCTCAGGGATCTGTGCTTCTCTGGCCCTGCCCAATCACAGAAATACCCGTCTCAGGTCCCCAGGAGAAGTGATGGTGTTACACTGTGGACACAGCTTCTTAGCCCCCTAGGACATAAACACAGAAATTTGAGACTGCTTTGGCCTCAACAAACATCTGTATGAAATTTGTGTGCAACAATCAATCAATCAAACTTTATTGTCCCCAGAGGGAAATGTGGTTTCAAAGAGGAGAGGAGAGAGGAGAGGGGAGAGGAGGGGGGAGAGGAGAGGAGAGGAGGGGGGAGAGGAGAGGAGGGGGGTAGAGGAGAGAGGAGAGAGGGGAGAGGAGGGGGAGAGGAGAGAGAGGAGAGGAGAGGAGAGGAGAGGAGAGGAGAGGAGAGGAGAGGAGAGGAGAGGAGAGGAGAGGAGAGGAGAGGAGAGGAGAGGAGAGGAGAGGAGAGGAGAGAGGAGGGAGAGGAGAGGGAGGAGAGGAAGGAGAGGAGGAGGAGAGGAGGGGGGAGAGAGAAGATGAGGGGGAGAGGGAGAGGGGAGAGGGAGGGAGGGAGGAGGAGAGGAGAGAGGAGAGAGGAGAGGAGGGGGGAGGAGAGGAGAGGATGGGTAGAGGACAGAGGACAGGAGAGAGGAGAGGATGGGTAGAGGACAGAGGACAGGAGAGAGGAGAGGAGGGTAACGTGATAAAAAGACATAAGAGTCATGTGTATTATCACTGTACAGCATTATCTGACAAACATCTTACCAGAGTGCGGAGCCAACACTCCTCACAGTGGGCATGCCAGCACTGGATGGAGGTGAGAGGTGTTGTGTACGTGTCCTACAGAGAGAGGAGAGAGAGAGAGACGAGCGAGAGAGAGAGGAGAGAGAGAGAAGGGAGGAGAGAGAGAGAGAGAGAGGAGGAGGAGGAGGGGAGGAGGAGGGGGAGGAGGGGGAGGAGACAGGAGATGGAAAGAAAGAAAACGATGAAGAGAGAAAGAAAACATTCTAGTGCCACACGCAGCGACACACAGTGAAACACATTGCGAGTTAAATGTCTCGATTGCAATGAAAGACTGTTGTCACTAGATGGTGTTAATTGCCTGTAGCTGCTGTATCAGTGCAGCTGGAGAGGATAGGTGAGACAAGGACCTAGGAGACTAGGATAGGTGAGACAAGGACCTAGGAGACCTAGGAGACCTAGGATAGGTGAGACAAGATCCTAGGAGACCTAGGAGACCTAGGAGACTAGGATAGGTGAGACAAGGACCTAGGAGACCTAGGAGACCTAGGAGACTAGGATAGGTGAGACAAGGACCTAGGAGACCTAGGAGACCTAGGATAGGTGAGACAAGGACCTAGGAGACCTAGGAGACCTAGGAGACTAGGATAGGTGAGACAAGGACCTAGGAGACCTAGGAGACCTAGGAGACCTAGGATAGGTGAGACAAGGACCTAGGAGACTAGGATAGGTGAGACAAGGACCTAGGAGACCTAGGAGACCTAGCTGTGGTACATTCCTCAACAGATTTAATCGAATGTTCAACATGTTTGAATTTGTTTGCTTTGGGGCTCAGTTTTACCCATATTGAAATTCACCTATTCATAACTGTGTTCATTGACAGGTTGAATGAAAGGTTCTTAAAGGACACACTTCAGTATTTATATTGCACTAGCTTGCTCCCAGTGCGGCTATACTCACTAGCCTGGTCCCAGACCTGTTAGAGCTCTTCCCAACTCCATTGCTCATTGTCAAGCTAAACAATGACAAAGAGTGACAAGGAGTTGGCATGACAGCACAAGTAGACTGGGACTCAGGCTATACACTCACCCTACAGATAAGACAGTTGTGTCTGTCCCCTTTGGTCAGCTGCTTCTCTAGGTCCCGTATTCGACTTTTTAGTGAATCCAGCGTCGTCAGCCCAGAATCCTCAGAGACCCTGAACATACACGCACACACAGAGTGACGGGGATAGGAGAAGAAGATGCCAGAGAGTATTTTATAAATCAAAGACAGATGAAATGATTTGCTGGCCAACATATACACGGAGCATGAAATTTAGCAGCAATCACATTGGCAGCATTCACTATCTCATTCATCATGGGAAGAGGAAGGCGAGCCTAGAGAGGGGGAGGGCAAGTATCACACACGCCACAGGCTCCACACAGGCACACCACAGGCTCACCACAGGATCACCACAGGCACACCACATGATCACCACAGGCACACCACAGGCACACCACAGGCTCACCACAGGCACACTACAGGCTCACCACAGGCTCACCACAGGATCACCACAGGCACACCACAGGCTCACCACAGGATCACCACAGGCACACCACATGCTCACCACAGGATCACCACAGGCACACCACAGGCTCACCACAGGCTCACCACAGGCTCACCACAGGATCACCACAGGCACACCACAGGCTCACCACAGGCTCACCACAGGCACACCACAGGCTCACCACAGGCTCACCACAGGCACAACGAGTCGTCCTGTATGAGTTGAGCTGGACTTCTGCCTAACCCGTTCACAGGATTGGTTAACTCTTGAGGTTCCTAGGGTCTCCACCGAGCTAGGTAAATCTGATTGTAGTTTTAATGCAACGTATTGCTAGCACAAAATTCAAAATACATTTCATTTTGATGTTCTGGTGCCGTTCGGGCAGTTTATAGTATTGATTGGGGACTTATTTGTGGAGGAATGTTTTTCTGGGTGATACGTGATGTTTTACTTCTGTTTCCCATGATATGTTGTATATAATGTGTATATGACTGAAATTGAATGAATTAATGAATGAAATATATTTTATTTTCGTGTCAAATCGCCAGTTGGCAACCCATCCCTTATGGGATTAATTGACACATAAACAAACACTACAATAAGTCACTGTAATAATTAATTGATAATTCTACTTGTATATTTATGTTGAATATATACAGGGCACATACAGTGGGGAGAACAAGTATTTGATACACTGCCGATTTTGCAGGTTTTCCTACTTACAAAGCATGTAGAGGTCTGTAATTTTTATCATAGGTACACTTCAACTGTGAGAGACTGAATCTAAAACAAAAATTCAGAAAATCACATTGTATCATTTATAAGTAATTAATTTGTATTTTATTGCATGACATAAGTATTTGATCACCTACCAACCAGTAAGAATTCCGGCTCTCACAGACCTGTTACTATTTCTTTAAGAAGCCCTCCTGTTCTCCACTCATTACCTGTATTAACTGCACCTGTTTGAACTCGTTACCTGTATAAAAGACACCTGTCCACACACTCAATCAAACAGACTCCAACCTCTCCACAATGACCAAGACCAGAGAGCTGTGTAAGGACATCAGGGATAAAATTGAAGACCTGCACAAGGCTGGGATGGGCTACAGGACAATAGGCAAGCATTTTGGTGAGAAGGCAACAACTGTTGGCGTAATTATTAGAAAATGGAAGAAGTTCAAGATGACGGTCAATCACCCTCGGTCTGGGGCTCCATGGAAGATCTCACCTTGTGGGGCATCAATGATCATGAGGAAGGTGAGGGATCAGCCCAGAACTACACGGCAGGACCTGGTCAATGACCTGAAGAGAGCTGGGACCACAGTCTCAAAGAAAACCATTAGTAACACACTACGCCGTCATGGATTAAAATCCTGCAGCGCATGCAAGGTCCCCCTGCTCAAGCAGCGCATGTCCAGGCCCATCTGAAGTTTGCCAATGACCATCTGGATGATCCAGAGGACGAATGGGAGAAGGTCATGTGGTCTGATGAGACAAAAATAGAGCTTTTTGGTCTAAACTCCACTCGCCGTGTTTGGAGGAAGAAGAAGGATGAGTACAACCCCAAGAATACCATCCCAACCGTGAAGCATGGAGGTGGAAACATCATTCTTTGGGGATGCTTTTTTGCAAAGGGGACAGGACGACTGCACCGTATTGAGGGGAGGATGGATGGGGCCATGTATCGCGAGATCTTGGCCAACAACCTCGTTCCCTCAGTAAGAGCATTGAAGATGGATCGTGGCTGGGTCTTCCAGCATCACAACGACCCGAAACACACAGCCAGGGCAACTAAGGAGTGGCTCCGTAAGAAGCATCTCAAGGTCCTGGAGTGGCCTAGCCAGTCTCCAGACCTGAACCTAATAGAACATCTTTGGAGGGAGCTGAAAGTCCGTATTGCCCAGCGACAGCCCCGAAACCTGAAGGATCTGGAGAAGGTCTGTATGGAGGAGTGGGCCAAAATCCCTGCTGCAGTGTGTGCAAACCTGGTCAAGACCTACAGGAAACGTATGATCTCTGTAATTGCAAACAAAGGTTTCTGTACCAAATATGAAGTTGGTCTTTTACCAAATAGGGCTATCTTCTGTATACCACCCCTACCTTGTCACAACACAACTGATTGGCTCAAACGCATTAAGAAGGAAATAAATTACTCAATTAGGCACACTTGTTAATTGAAATGCATTCCAGGTGACTACCTCATGAAGCTGGTGGAGAGAATGCCAAGAGTGTGCAAAGCTGTCATCAAGGCAAAGGGTGGCTACTTTGAAGAATCTAAAATCTAAAATCTATTTTGATTCGTGTAACACTTTTTTTGTTACTACATGATGTCTTCACTTTTATTCTACAATTTAAAAAATAGTAAAAATAAAGAAAACCCTTGAATGAGCAGGTGTGTCCAAACTTTTGACTGGTAGTGTGTATATATATATATATATATATATATATATATATATTTTTTAAATATATTTTCATTTATTATTTTCCCCTAACCCTCCCTAACACCCCTCCCCTAATTGGAGTAAACCAATGGACAACAACAATTAGGATTCTACTTCCAGCTTACACATACTATATACGTTTTACGGACACAGTGTATTTTACAATAGTTATCTTTTGTTTGTTTTTAATCCCATCCTTCAGCTCCCCTTAACCCCTCCCATCTATCTTTGAAGACCATCCAGTTTGATTTCTATTTGCCATGTAACTTTTAATGTGCTGTTTCACAAAAGTTCTGAACCTATATACTGTACATTTTATGGACACAGTATATTTTACATTAGTTATCTTGTTACAGTGGGGAAAAAAAGTATTTAGTCAGCCACCAATTGTGCAAGTTCTCCCACTTAAAAAGATGAGAGAGGCCTGTAATTTTCATCATAGGTACACGTCAACTATGACAGACAAATTGAGAAAAAAAAATCCAGAAAATATTTTTTTGCAAATTATGGTGGAAAATAAGTATTTGGTCACCTACAAACAAGCAAGATTTCTGGCTCTCACAGACCTGTAACTTCTTCTTTAAGAGGCTCCTCTGTCCTCCACTCGTTACCTGTATTAATGGCACCTGTTTGAACTTGTTATCAGTATAAAAGACACCTGTCCACAACCTCAAACAGTCACACTCCAAACTCCACTATGGCCAAGACCAAAGAGCTGTCAAAGGACACCAGAAACAAAAGTGTAGACCTGCACCAGGCTGGGAAGACTGAATCTGCAATAGGTAAGCAGCTTGGTTTGAAGAAATCAACTGTGGGAGCAATTATTAGGAAATGGAAGACATACAAGACCACTGATAATCTCCCTCGATCTGGGGCTCCACGCAAGATCTCACCCCGTGGGGTCAAAATGATCACAAGAACGGTGAGCAAAAATCCCAGAACCACACGGGGGGACCTAGTGAATGACCTGCAGAGAGCTGGGACCAAAGTAACAAAGCCTACCATCAGTAACACACTACTCCGCCAGGGACTCAAATCCTGCAGTGCCAGACGTGTCCCCCTGCTTAAGCCAGTACATGTCCAGGCCCGTCTGAAGTTTGCTAGAGTGCATTTCGATGATCCAGAAGAGGATTGGGAGAATGTCATATGGTCAGATGAAACCAAAATATAACTTTTTGGTAAAAACTCAACTCGTCGTGTTTGGAGTACAAAGAATGCTGAGTTGCATCCAAAGAACACCATACCTACTGTGAAGCATGGGGGTGGAAACATCATGCTTTGGGGCTGTTTTTCTGCAAAGGGACCAGGACGACTGATCCGTGTAAAGGAAAGAATGAATGGGGCCATGTATCGTGAGATTTTGAGTGAAAACCTCCTTCCATCAGCAAGGGCATTGAAGATGAAACGTGGCTGGGTCTTTCAGCATGACAATGATCCCAAACACACCGCCCGGGCAACGAAGGAGTGGCTTCGTAAGAAGCATTTCAAGGTCCTGGAGTGGCCTAGCCAGTCTCCAGATCTCAACCCCATAGAAAATCTTTGGAGGGAGTTGAAAGTCTGTGTTGCCCAGCGACAGCCCCAAAACATCACTGCTCTAGAGGAGATCTGCATGGAGGAATGGGCCAAAATACCAGCAACAGTGGGTGAAAACCTTGTGAAGACTTACAGAAAACGTTTGACCTGTGTCATTGCCAACAAAGGGTATATAACAAAGTATTGAGAAACTTTAGTTATTGACCAAATACTTATTTTCCACCATAATTTGCAAATAAATTCATTAAAAATCCTACAATATGATTTTCTGGATTTTTTTTTCTCATTTTGTCTGTCATAGTTGATGTGTACCTATGATGAAAATTAAAGGCCTCTCTCATATTTTTAAGTGGGAGAACTTGCACAATTGGTGGCTGACTAAATACTTTTTCCCCACTGTATCTTAGCATGTAACATGTGCAACCAGAGGAAAAAAAAACTCTAGACCACCTTTACTCCACACACAGAGACGCGTACAAAGCTCTCCCTCGCCCTCCATTTGGCAAATCTGACCATAATTCTATCCTCCTGATTCCTGCTTACAAGCAAAAACTAAACCAGAAAGTACCAATGACTCGCTCAATACGGAAGTGGCCAGATGACGCAGATGCTAAGTTACAGGACTGTTTTGCTAGCACAGACTGGAATATTTTCTGGGATTCAGCCTATGGCATTGAGGAGTTTACCATATCAGTCACCGGCTTCATCAATAAGTGCATCGATGACGTCGTTCCCACAGTGATTGTACATACATTCCCTAACCAGAAGCCATGGATTACATGCAACATCCTCACTGATATAAAGCATGAAGCTGCCGCATTCAAGGAGAGGGACTCCAACCCGGACGATTATAAGAAATCCCGCTATGCCCTCCGAAGAACCATAAAACAGGCAAAGCGTCAATACAAGACTAAGATTGAATCCTACTACACCGGCTCTGACGCTTAACAGATACCCAGTGACACAAGCCTATCAGACAAGATAAATTACTTCTATGCGCGCTTCAAGGCAAGCAACACTGAAGCATGCATGAGAGCACCAGTTGTTGCGGACGACTGAGTGATCACGCTCTCCGTAGCCGATGTGAGTAAGAGCTTTAAACAGGTTGTAATATTCATATGTGTCAGCATACTGAATTGTAATTGGATTCATTATACTGTCATATCATACTGTGCTATGATTGATTAAGACCACCCAGGTGGTGAGGTCATTCTAAGATGATCATGGCCAGAGACACATGGACATGCAAGTTATAGCTAGTTAATAAAGAGCTACGTTTATAAATATCCTGTCGTCCTGCATTTTATAATTTTGTACAAAGCGTACAAAACAAGACATGGTGTCAGAGTAAAAGGACTAAAAGATGGATTTTGCTGGAGTTCCTTCACCTCGAATGGATTGGGGGTCTACAAATCTACCCGATGCATGGCGTAAGTTCAAACAGCATGTGGAGCTGATGTTCACGGGTCCTCTGAAGGAAAGAGGAGAAGAGGAAAAGTGCAGCTACCTGCTCCTCTGGATCGGTGAAAAAGGGAGAGACATTTACAACACATGGACACTTACCGAGGCTGAATCAAAGGTACTGAAAACATACTACGATCGTTTTGAAGCATATGTTGTGCCAAAGACCAATACAATTTTCGCTAGATACAAATTCCATGAGAAAGTACAAGGCGCTAGCGAATCGTTTGAACAGTTTGTCACTGAGCTGCGTCTGCTTGTGAAAGACTGTGATTATGCAAACAAGGATGAGATGGTCAGGGACCGTATTGTATTTGGAATACACTCACCGCGAGTGAGAGAGAAACTTTTGAATGTTGGATCAGAGTTAACGCTGGACAAAGCTATCGACATAGCCAGATCTCACGAGCTAACACAGGTTCAGATGAAAACCATTTCAGGCGGCAGCACGAGCGCATCACGTGAACAAGCAGTGCACGCAGTCAGGCAGACATCAAAGCACACCTCCAGTGCCCAGAGAGCATGTTTCAGAACGGAGACAGACAGAACTCCAAAACAGAGCGACACAGACTCCAAACGCCCCAAAACATGTGGATATTGTGGATACAAAGTGCATGGCGAACAGGGGAATTGCCCAGCTAAAGGCAAACAGTGTACTAAATGTGGAAAATGGAATCACTTTGCAAAAGTGTGCAGAGTTTACCGTGGAAAAACAGTACATACAGTGAGTGAAGATGAAATGTCAATCAAAGAGTCAAATGCTGATGAACTGTTTATTGATTCAGTGACACAGAAAAGTCAGATATCAGAGACAGAGCAAGCCTTTGCTGACATTGAGATAGGAAGACAAGGCACAGAGCTAAAATTCTAACTAGACACTGGTGCACAAGTAAACATTATTCCTCTGAGTAAGTACAGAAGCTTGACATCTGAGTGTGAGCTACAGCCCACCACGCACAGACTGACTGGTTATGGTGGTGAACAGCTCCCAGTAAAAGGCACATGCACTCTCAAATGCAAATACAAGGAAAGGGACATGATGTTGGACTTTTACATTGTTGACACTCGAGCACCTGCAGTGCTAGGTCTTAAAGCATGTTTAGACATGGACCTTATCAAGCTAGTTTTATCAGTGACAGCACCAGTAGAGATAGAGAATGTCATGGAGGAGTTTGCTGATGTTTTTACAGGAATAGGACTATTCCCAGGAGAATGTACCATTCACCTTGACCCAGACGCAACCCCTGTGGTCTACCCACCGAGAAAGATTCCACTTGCTCTCCGCGCCCGTCTGAAGAAAGAGTTGGAGAGCATGGAGCAATCTGACATCGTCACCAAGGTTACAGAACCGACGGATTGGGTCAACGCGTTAGTGGTGGTGGAGAAACCACGCACAGGCAAGCTCAGAGTATGTCTCGACCCAAGAGACTTGAACAAGGCTATCAAACGCCCCCATTACTCCTTACCAACGCTAGATGGCATCACACACAAGCTAGCGGGCGCACGCTACTTCAGTGTCATGGACGCCAGATCAGGCTACTGGGCTATCAAGCTCACAGAAGAGTCATCTAAGCTCACAACGTTCAACACACCGTTTGGACGCTACAGGTTCCGTCGCCTGCCTTTTGGGATTATCTCAGCCCAAGACGAGTTTCAGCGAAAGATCGACGAGGTGTACGAAGGCCTCGACGGAGTCGTGGCAATTGTAGACGACATCCTTGTCTATGGTCGAACCAAAGAGGAACACGACAGAAACCTCAACGCGATGCTGCAAAGGTCCCGCGAGAGAGGAGTCCGGCTCAACCCCGAGAAGAGCACAGTCGGCGCTACAGAGGTCAGCTACTTCGGGCATCTTCTCACAGCGAATGGAATCAAGCCAGATCTGCAGAAGATCTCAGCCATAAAGGAAATGGAGCCACCAAAGAACCGCGCAGAGCTGGAAACAGTGCTTGGCATGGTCAACTACTTAGCCAAGTTCGCACCCAGCCTCTCCAATGCTAATGCACCCCTGCGTCAGCTGCTAAAGCAGTCCAGTGAGTTCCTCTGGGACAACCAACACGACATCGCTTTCCAGAAAGTGAAAGACTTGATCACGAGAGAACCAGGACCAATCCTTGCCTACTACGACCCCAACAAAGAGCTCAGACTCCAGGTGGACGCGTCAAAGTATGGACTAGGGGCAGTGCTACTGCAAGAAGGAAAACCCATCGGCTACGCTTCCAAATCTCTCACAGACTGTGAAATCAACTACGCTCAAATCGAAAAGGAGCTGTACGCCATTCTGTTCGGATGTAAGCGTTTCCATCAGTATGTCTATGGACGACAAGTCATTGTGGAATCAGACCACAAGCCCCTCGAGTCAATCATGAGGAAACCGTTAGCCGCAGCCCCGCCAAGGCTACAGAGAATGATCCTTCAACTACAAAAATACGACTTCACAATCACTCACCGTCCAGGCAAAGACATCCCTGTCGCAGACACACTCTCCAGGAAGTTTCTTACCTACAAGGACAGCAGCCTCAGTGAAGGCATGGACATGCAGGTGCACACTGTGTACAGCAACTTACCAGTTAGTGACACAAAACTGAAGGAGATCCGAGCAGAAACAGAAAAAGACACACAACTCACACAGCTGAGGAAAGTCATACAGTCAGGATGGCCTGAGGAGAGGAGAAAATGCCCTCAGAGCGTCTCAGAGTTCTGGAACCATCGTGACGAACTATCACAGATCAACGGAATAATTTTCAAAGGAGAGAAAATCATCATTCCTACCAGTCTCAGAGAAGAGATTTTGACAAAGATCCATGCTGGACACATGGGCATGGAAAAGTGCAAACAGAGGGCACGGGACATTTTGTTTTGGCCCGGAATGTGCAAACAAATAGAGGACATGGTTGGTAAATGCCCCACCTGTCTTGAACGACGCCCCTCAAACACCAAAGAGCCAATGTTACCTCACCGTATCCCAGACCGACCCTGGCAGGTCGTGGCAACCGATCTGTTCACGTGGAACAACGAGGACTACATTATAACAGTGGACTACTACAGCAGATACTTCGAACTTGACAAGCTTCACAGCACCACATCTGCAGCTGTGATACACAAGCTGAAAGCAGCCTTTGCCAGGCATGGCATTGTAGAGACTTTAATATCTGACAATGGGCCCTGTTACAAATCAAATGAGTTTGAATCCTTCACAAAAGCATGGGAGTTCACACACGTCACCACAAGCCCACATTACCCTCAAAGTAATGGCCTTGCCGAAAAATCTGTGCAGATCGCTAAATCACTCATGGACAAAGCAAAAGCAGACAAGAGAGACCCCTACCTCAGTCTCCTTGAATACCGCAACACTCCAGTTGACAACTTCAAATCACCAGCCCAGCTGTTGATGAGCCGCAGACTTCGCTCAATCCTTCCCAGCACCAACCAGCAGCTGCAACCTGAGGTTGTCAGCTACAAGGAAGTGCATGCAAAACGTGCACAGAGACAACAACAGCAAAAGCGATACTACGACAGGTCAGCCAGACCACTGCCACCACTGAACGACGGAGAGTCAGTTAGAATCCAGGAGCATGGCTACTGGAAGCCAGCAGTCGTCATCCAACCAGCTGACACTGAATGTTCATATCTCGTTCGCACCGCAGAAGGAGCGGTGTACCGCCGCAATCGTCGTCACCTACTGAACACAAAAGAACAACACACTGACGAGATGAACTGTTCCCCTGAAAGAGAACGGGGTGGACTAAACACAGACACAACACAACATACACCATACGTACCTGCAACACCACAAGAACTGTTGACTGACACAGAAGCTTGCTCAGCTTCATATCACACAAGGTCAGGAAGAGAGGTCAAGCCTAGAGCTGTCCTAGACCTGTGAAATGTCAAAGGGTGTAGGCAGATCGCTGCCCTAAAAGAGTTCCAGACTGTAAACTTGTTATTGAAAGTTAACTTGAAATGCTTTGGTATGGTATTTGTTTGATATGTTGAGATGTCATTGCTACAGTGAAAAGCTGAATTGCTGAGAAATATTTGTCTAAAAGTAACAGTATGCTGAATCATTGTTTGTCTGTTATGTTGATGCAGTTGGTGCAGTTTAAATGGTTACTTACCTCGAGTTCAAACTACAGAGCATATATTCAAAAGAAACGCTTTATTGTTCTACATATTTTTTCTTTTTTTTAAAAGAAGGGGGATGTAATATTCATATGTGTCAGCATACTGAATTGTAATTGGATTCATTATACTGTCATATCATACTGTGCTATGATTGGTTAAGACCACCCAGGTGGTGAGGTCATTCTAAGATGATCATGGCCAGAGACACATGGACATGCAAGTTATAGCTAGTTAATAAAGAGCTACGTTTATAAATATCCTGTCGTCCTGCATTTTATAATTTTGTACAAAGCGTACAAAACAAGACACAGGTCAACATTCACAAGGCCGCAGGGCCAGACGGATTAGCAGGACGTGTACTCAGAGCATGCTCTGACCAACTGGCAAGTGTGTTCACTGGCATTTTTAACCTGTCCCTGACCGAGTCTGTAATACCTACATGTTTCAAGCAGACCACCATAGTCCCTGTGCCCAAGAATGCCAAGGTAACCTGCCTAAATGTCTACCGACCCGTAGCACTCACGTCTGTAGCCATGGAGTGCTTTAAAAGGCTGGTCATGGCTCACATCAACACCATCATCCCAGAAACCCTAGACCCACTCCAATTTGCATAACGCGCCAACAGATCCACAGATGATGCAATCTCTAATGTACTCCACACTGCCCTTTCCCACCTGGACAAAAGGAACACCTACGTGAGAATGCTGTTCATTGACTACAGCTCAGTGTTCAACACCATAGCGCCCTCAAAGCTCATCACTAATCTAAGGACACTGGGATTAACCACCTCCCTCTGGTCCAAACACACCAAGACAGTACTCCCTGGATTCAACTCTATTCTGAACTGATATGCAGCCAGGACACTTAAATTGTAAATTACCTCAATAAGAAACAATATTTTTGCTTTAACAACATCAGAAGATATCCTCCTCGCAATCTCCAAAATACAACAGCCACAGGACATCTTTGTTTGGACGTAGCTAGCTGGGATCTTCTACAAGGAATCTGCCTCCCGAAAACGTTTCTCCCAAGTGGGTGTGACACCTACTCCCGTTGCCTGCTGCACTGTTGCTTGGATTCCACCTGGCGATCTGTTCACCGTCTGCCCTGGCCTGTCTCCCCCTGTCTGGTACAGGTACCCCCACCACACTCCCCCCTCTCTCCCAAGCTTTCGCTCACCTCTAGCACACACGCTCTGTTGGGGCGAGTGACTCTGAACTTACGAAAGATAGCCCCAAGTCGTTATATTTTTTTGTTGTGCTTGATGCTATTTGCCTCATGACTCCTGCGTGCATTGTTGACTAAGACCTTGCTTGTTTACCCGCCCGTGTGACAGACTATGTTTGTTCCCACACTCAGGACTCTGACTATTTGTTGGTTACACGGTCTCTTGGACTCCCATCCTATTCTAACCACCTCTCGCCGGCTTTGAATTCATGTTACCTGATGAAATTTCTGTACAATATGATCTTGTTGCCATCTGATGCACATTCAAATGTCATATAAAATCAACACTGCAGAGCTCTCCCTCTCCTCAGCCGTGCCCTGATTGTATTACTGCTGATGATATCTGGAAATGTGCATGTACACCCTGGCCCATCTACTGTCGCTAGCCCCAATTCTGACTTGTGCTCTGATATTTGCTTCACTGATTTCTGCTCTCGTAAAAGCCTGGGCTTTCTGCATGTAAACACAAGAAGCTTATTACCTAAAATTGATCAATTGAAAGTGTGGGTTCACAGCTCCAATCCAGATGTGTTGGTCATTACTGAGACGTGGTTAAGAAAGAGTGTTTTGAACACTGATGTTAACCTTTCTGGTTATAACCTTATTCGGCAAGACAGATCTTCCAAAGGTGGTGGAGTAGCAATCTTTACCCAGGAACACCTTCAGTGCTTGGTTGTCTCCACCAAGTATAGGTATCAGTCTGGTGTTTTCTGTAATGACCTTAGTGATCACTGTTTTACAGCCTGTGTTCGTAATGGCTACTCAGTGAAACGACTTGTCCTGATTTGTCATAGACGCTTGCTAAAATACTTGAATGAGCAAGCCTTCCTTCATGACCTGGCCTCTATAAATAGGTATAGAATCAGCTTGTTCCCCTCTGTCGAAGACGCTTGGACCTTCTTTTTTGATATTTTCAGTGGTATTGTTAACAAACATGCCCCCATAAAGAAAAGGAGAATTAAAAACAGGTTCAGCCCCTGGTTCGACCGTGATCTGGCAGAGTTACTCCAACTCAAGAATTATATTTGGCGAAAGGCTCGCATACTCAGGCTGACTGACTCTTGTTCAGGCAAACGAGAAATAAGTGCACTCAGGCCAAAGCTAGTTACTTTAAGGAGCAGTTCTCGCTCTGTGGGTCTAACCCCAAGAAGTTCTGGAAAACTGTTAAAGACCTGGTGAATAAACCCTCCTCCTCACAGCTGCCCATGTCCCTTAATGTTGATGATGTGGTTGTTACTGACAAAGAGCACATGGCTGAGCTCTTTAATCACCACTTCATTAAGTCAGGATTCCTATTAGACTCAGCCATGCCTCCTTGCCCATCCAACATTTCCTCATCTCCCACCCCTTCTAATGCGACTAGCCCCGATGCTCCTCCCTCTTTTCCCCCTTCCCGCTACAAAGTTTCTCACTGCAGGCGGTCACAGAGTCCGAGGTGCTAAAGGAGCTCCTTAAACTTCACACCAAAAAAACATCTGGGTCAGATGGTTTAGACCTTTTCTTCTTTAAGGTTGCAGCCCCTATAATCGGCAAGCCTGTCTGTTTTTAACCTGTCTCTCCTCTCTGGGGAGGTTCCTATTGCTTGGAAGGCAGCCACGGTGCGTCCTTTATTTAAAGGGGAAAATCAAGCTGATCCTAACTGTTATAGGCCAATTTCTATTTTGCCCTGTTTATCAAAAGTGTTGGAAAAACGTGTCAATATTCAGCTGACTGGCTTTCTTGATGTCTATAGTATTCTCTCTGGTATGCAAGCTGGTTTCCGCTCAGGTTATGAATGTGTCACTGCAACCTTAAAGGTCCTAAATTATGTCACTATTGCCCTTGATTCTAAACAATATTGTGCTGCTATTTTTATTGACTTGGCCAAAGCTTTTGATACTGTAGACCATTCCATCCTTGTCGGCCGGCTAAGGAGTATTCTGAGGGGTCTTTGGCCTGGTTTGCTAACTACCTCTCTCATAGAGTGCAATGTATAAAGTCAGAACATCTGCTATCTCAGCCACTTTCTGTCACCAAGGGAGTACCCCAAGGCTCGATCCTAGGCCCCACGCTCTTTTCAAGTTACATCAACAATATAGCTCAGGCAGTAGGAAGCGCTCTCATCCATTTATATGCAGATGATACAGTCTTATACTCAGATGGCCCCTCCCCAGATTTTGTGCTAAACGCTCTACACACAAAGCTTTCTTAGTGTCTAACAAGCTTCCTCTGCCCTTAACCTTGTTCTGAACACCTCCAAAACAAAGGTCATGTGGTTTGGTAAGATGAATGCCCCTCTCCCCACCGGTGTGATTACTACCTCTGAGGGTTTAGAGCTTGAGGTAGTCACCTCATACAAGTACTTGGGAGTATGGCTAGACAGTACACTGTCCTTCACTCAGCGCATATCAAAGCTGTAGGCTAAGGTTAAATCTAGACTTGCTTTCCTCTATCGTAATCGCTCCTCTTTCACCCCAGCTGCCAAACTAACCCTGATTCAGATGACCATCCTACCCATGCTAGATTATGGAGACATAATTTGTAGATCGGCAGGTAAGGGTGCTATCGATCGGCTAGATGTTCTTTACCATTCGGCCTTCAGATTTGCCACCAATTCTCCTTATAGGACACATCACTGCACTCTATACTCCTCTGTAAACTGGTCATCTCTGTATACCCGTCGCAAGTCCCACTGGTTGATGCTTATTTACAAAACCCTCTTAGGCCTCACTCCCCCCTATCTGAGATACCTACTGCAGCCCTCATCCTCCACATACAACACCCGATCTGCCAGTCACATTCTGTTAAAGGTCCCCAAAGCACACACATCCCTGGGTCGCTCCTCTTTCCAGTTCACTGCAGCTAGCGACTGGAACGAGCTGCAAAAAACACTCAAACTGGACAGTTTTATCTCCATCTTTTCATTCAAAGACAATCATGGACACTCTTACTGACAGTTGTGGCTGCTTCGCGTGATGTATTGTTGGCTCTACCTTCTTGCCCTTTGTGCTGTTGTCTGTGCCCAATAATGTTTGTACCATGTCTTGTGCTGCTAACATGTTGTGCTGCTGCCATGTTGTGTTGCTACCATGTTGTTTTCATGTTGGGCTGCTACCTTGCTGTATTGTTGTGTGTTGCTACCATGCTATGTTGTTGTCTTAGGTCTCTCTTTATGTAGTGTTGTGTTGTCTCTCTAGTTGTGATGTGTATTTGGTCCTATGTTTATATCTTTATTTATTTTTAAAATACTAGCCCCCGTCCCCGCAGGAGGCCTTTTGCCTTTTCTTAGGCCGTCATTGTAAATAAGAATTTGTCTTAACTGACTTGCCTAGTTAAATAAAGGCAAAAAAAAGGGGAACAACAACGCCTATTCCCCCTCAGGAGACTGAAAAGATTTGGCATGGGTCCCCAGATCCTCAAAAGGTTCTACAGCTGCACCATTGAGAGCATCCTGACTGGTTGCATCACTGTCTGGTATGGCAACTGCTCGGCAACTGACCACAAGGCACTACAGAGGGTAGTGCGTACGGCCCAGTACGTCACTTGGGCCAAGCTTCCTGCCATCCAGGACCTCTATACCAGGCGGTGTCAGAGGAAGGCCCTAAAAATTGTGAAAGACTCCAGCCACCCAAGTCATTGACTGTCCTCTCTGCTACTGCACGGCAAGCGATACCGGAGCACAAAGTCTAGGTCCAAAAGGCTCCATAACAGCTTCTACCCCCAAGCCATAAGACTGATGAACAGTTAATACGTATAATGGCTACACGGACAATTTGCATTGACCCCCATTTTTTTACGCTGCTGCTATTCGCTATATATTATCTATGCATAGTCACTTTACCACTACCTACATGTACATATTACCTCAATTACCTCGACTAACCTGTACCCCCACACATTGACTCTGTACCAGTACCCCCTGTATATACCCTCGTTATTGTTATTTTATTGTGTTACTTTCTTTTTACTGGAGTTTATTTAGTAAATATTTTCTTAACTCTTTAACTTTTCTTTAAACTGCACTGTTGGTTAAGGGCTTGTAAGTAAGCATTTCACGGTCAGGTTGTCACCTGTTGTAGTCGGTGACAAATACAAATGTATTCTATTTTATTTTATTTGTTGTTTTTAGTCCTACACTTCAGCTCCACTCAACCCCTCCCATCTATCTCTTAACACCATCCATGTTTTATTTCTATTTGCCATATATTTTTCAACTGTGCTGTGATGTTTCACGAAAATTCTGAACCTTTCTATTCTCATAGTTTCAACAGATTGTAAATTAAAGATAATTTTTTTTGCTAAAAGTATTATTATATTAATGATCGATTGAATATGACTTTTTAAATCACCCAGCAGTGATATATATATATATATATATATATATATATATATATATATATTATTATTATTATTATATATATTTTTTTTTTGTTATTGTTATTTTTTAAAATATATTTCCCTTTATTACTTTCCAACCCCACCACCCCTTCCCTAATTGGAGTAAACTAGTGAACAACAACGCTTAGGCCCCTACATCCAGCTTATACATACTATATACATTTCATGGACACAGTCAATTTTACAATAATTATATTTTGTTTGTTTTTACTCCTGAACTTCCTCTACCCTGAACCTCTCCAATCATTTTCATGATATCCATCAGCTTTGCTTCTATATGCCATATCTTTCTAACTGTACTCTTCACAAAAGCTCTCAACCTATTACCTAGAGTTGAAGTCGGAAGTTTACATACACTTAGGTTGGAGTCATTACAACACATTTTTCAACCACAAGTCGGTTAGGATATCTACTTTGTGCATGACACAAGTAATTTTTCCAACAATTGTTTACAGACAGATTATTTCACTTATAATTCACTGTATCACAATTCCAGTGGGTCAGAAGTTTACATACACTAAGTTGACTGGGCATTTAAACAGCTTGTAAAATTCCAGTAAATGATGTCATGGCTTTATAAACTTCTGATAGGCTAATTTACATTATTTTAGTCAATTGGAGGTGTACCTGTGGATGTATTTCAAGGCCTACCTTCAAACTCAGTGCCTCTTTGCTTGACATCATGGGAAAATCAAAAGAAATGTGTAGACCTTCACAAATCTGGTTCTTCCTTGGGAGCATTTTCCAAATGCCTGAAGGTACCACGTTCATCTGTACAAACAATAGTACGCAAGTATAAACACCATGGGACCACGCAGCCGTCATACCGCTCAGGAAGGATACACATTCTGTCTCTTAGAGATGAACGTACTTTGGTGCGAAAAGTGCAAATCAATCCCAGAACAACAGCAAAGGACCTTGTGAAGATACTGGAGGAAACAGGTACAAAAGTATCTATATCCACAGTAAAATGAGTCCTATATCGACATAACCTGAAAGGCCGCTCAGCAAGGAAGATGCCACTGCTCCAAAACCGCCACTACGGTTTGCAACTGCACATGGGAACAAATACCGTAATTTTTGGAGAAATGTCCTCTGGTCTGATTAAACAAAAATAGAACTGTTTGGCCATAATTATCATCATTATGTTTGGAGGGAAAAGGGGGCTGCTTGCAAGCCGAAGAACACCATCCCAACCGTGAAGCACGGGGGTGGCAGCATCATGCTGTGGGGGTGCTTTGCTGCAGTTGAAACTGGTGCACTTCACAAAATAGATGGCATCATGAGGAAGGAAAATGATGTGGATATATTGAAGCAACATCTCAAGACATCAGTCAGGAAGTTATAGCTTGGTCGCAAATGAGCTTCCGAATGGACAATGACCCCAAGCATACTTCCAATGTTGTGCCAAAATGGCTTAAGGACAACAAAGTCAAGGTATTGGAGTGGCCATCACAAAGCCCTGACCTCAATTCTATAGAAAATGTGTGGGCAGAACTGAAAAAGCGTGTGCGAGCAAGGAGGCCTACAAACCTGACTCAGTTACACCAGCTCTGTCAGGAGGAATGGGCCAAAATTCACCCAACTTATTGTGGGAAGCTTGTGGAAGGCTACCCGAAACGTTTGACCCAAGTTCAACAATTTAAAGGCAATGCTACCAAATACTAATTGAGTGTATGTAAACTTCTGACCCACTGGGAATGTGATGAAAGAAATAAAAGCTGAAATAAATCATTCTCTCTACTATTATTCTGACATTTCACATTCTTAAAATAAAGTGGTGATCCTAACTGACCTAAGACAGGGAATTTTTACTAGGATTAAATGTCAGGAATTGTGAAAAACTGAGTTTAAATGTACAGTATTTGGCTAAGGTTTATGTAAACTTCCGACTTCAACTGTATATACTTATTATGGACACAGTATGCTTTCCAATAGTTATCTTGTTGTTATTAGTTGTTGTTAGTTGTTATTAGTCCCATCCTTCAGCTCCATTCAACCCCTCCCATCTATCATCCATATTGGATTTCTATTTGCCATATATTTTTCAACTGTACTGTGATGTTTCACAAAAGTTCTGAATCCTTCTACAGTGCTATTTGCAGAGTTAGCTCAAGGTAAATGTTGCAATTCTTCATCCATTCCTGGACCTGCGACCAAAAACAAGCTACATATGGACAGTACCCAAACAAATTATCTAATTATTCTGTATTTTTGCAGCAACATCTGCAGAGCTGGGATGGTTGTATCCCCCATATATATAACATTCTATTGGTGGCAAGAATTTTTTATAATAATTTTTATTGAAAACATCTAAGTTTTGAATCCGCCGTCATTTTGCATATCAGTTCATAAATCGGAACATTGGAAATCTCTTCCCAACTATTTTGCAATCTATATGGCACAGCTGTCAATTTGTTGGTCCTTAAATGAAACTGGTATACCTTTTTATTTATCATCATTTTCTTTAACCAATTTTGGTCTTTAATGCAGGACCGACAGACAAGTTCCTTACTCTCCCCCTTCCACTTGCATTTTTGCAGTAATGGTGCAATTAGTTGGTTGTCATTTTGGGTAGAGCAGACATTTCCATATATTTTTGTTAGCTGCATGTGTGACATAACTCCACCAGTCCTATTTAGGATATATTTCACAAAGATTATACCTTATTTTTAATATTTTTCAAAATAACGTTTTTTTTTAATCAATTAATATATTTGAGTTTAACCATAATATTTGTTGTATTATTTGTTCTGTCTTTTCTGGTGGTTTAAACTGAATTGCAACCAACTTTCTATGGCTTGTTTTAAAAATATTAATATTTTTGAGATTATTTCATTTTCAAATAACCGAAAATGAGAGGTTGTAATCTGAATAAACGGGAAAAGGCCATTCTTGAACATGAGGTGAGACATACTTACTAATCTGCTAGAGAACCAGTTCGGATTTAAGTATAACTTTTGTGTGACTGAAGCTTTTAGTGAGAGGTCTAATGCTTTAATATTGAATCATTTCTGCCCTCTGAATTCATATTCATTATATATATGTAGCTCAGTTGGTAGAGCATGGCACTTGCAATGCCAGGGTTGTGGGTTAGTTTCCCACGGGGGACCAGTATGAAAAAATGTATGCACTAAGTCGCTCTGGATAAGAGTGTCTGCTAATTGACTAAAATGTAAATAAATAGGCCTGTTTAATTTTGTCTGGCTTGCCGTTCCAAATAAAATGGAATATATTTTGCTCATATAATTCAAAAAACAGGTCGCTAGTTGTAGGCAGGGCCATCAGCAAATAGCTAAACTGGGATATGATTAAAGAGCTAATCAGGTGGATTTTTCCACAAATAGACAGGTATTTTACTTTCCATGGTAGCAAGATCTTATCTATTTTTGCTACATTTCTATTCAAATTTACTGTAGTGAGATAATTTCTTTCTTTTGGGATATGAATACAGAGTATGTCCACATCACCGTCAGACCATTGTATTGGCAAACTACACAGTAATGTAAAAGTTATATTTTTTAGTGATCCAATGCGTAATATAGTGCATTTATCATAATTTGGTTATAATAATAATATAATAATATGCCATTTAGCAGACGCTTTTATCAAAAGGAACTTACAGTCATGCGTGCATATATTATTTTTTGTGTATGGGTGGTCCTGGGGATCGAACACACTACCTTGGCGTTACAAGCACCGTGCTCTACCAGCTGAGCTACAGAGGACCACAATGGCTGTAATCAAGAGAGATTAGAAAAAGTATCTAAATCCTCTATGAGGCTGTGGAGGGATCCAAATTGTGGATTTAAAAGAAAACATGAATCATCAGCGTACAATTACATCTTTGTTTTTAAGCCCTGGATTTCTAGCCCCTTGATATTAATGTTGGATCTGATTTTAATAGCTAACATTTCGATGGCCATACTAAATTGAAATGCTGATAGTGGACAACCTTGTTTTACTCCTGTTGACAGTTTAATACTTTCTGAGAAGTAGCCATTATTTACTATTTTACACCTAGGGTAACTATACATAACTTTAACCCATTGTATAATTTTCCAGGCATTTATATATAAATTCCAGTCGTACTTTATCAAAAGCCTTTTCAAAGTCAGCTATGAATACCAGGCCTGGTTTCCCAGATTTTTCAAGGTGTTCTATTATTTCCAGTACTTGTCTTACAGTATATTATCTCCAATGTATCGTCCATGTAAAAAATCTGTTTGATTAGAATGAATAATATCCGATAACACCTATTTAATTCTATTTTTGGAAAGGTTTACGGTATCATGAAGTCAATGGTAATGTAGAACATTTTCACAGCTGAAACTCTTGACATTTCTTTCAGAACTTACATATCAATGTCACTATTTTTACAGGTCCTGTGTAGGGAGGCTATGCTGTTGTCCAGTTTGTTGCTCTCTCCGTTGCTAGTGGATGGACTTCCTGTAGCAAAAGAGGACTATCATTTTAGATCAGACACCCACACTTATTAATATCCAATTAATGAAGTACGGCATCAGGTAGCCTAGTGGTTGGAGTGTTGGGCTAGTAACCAAAAGGTTGCTGGTTTGAATCCCCGAGCTGACAAGGGTGTCGTAGGGCACTTTCTCTTGAAAGTTGTAATAGTAGAATGCACAAAGTGTCATTTCAAAATGAGGTAGTGTATCATCAGATAACTGTTTATAACTTGTCAGAAATGTCCAGATCAAATAGTCCAAGTCAGTTTTGGCTTGGTTTGTTAGCCTTAGATTTTGTTGTAATGTTTGAGTCACTCAAATATCACATGAATAAACATTAGGCATGGCGAAATGTATAGAATTGCAAGAAAATTTGCTTTAAAACTGCAAAAAAGAATCTGGACCCCATGACAAAATGTGTAGAATTGCAGGAAATAAGCTTTAAAACTGCAAAAAGTCTCTCTCCGCCAACAAGAGGGACGTGAACAGTTTGTGTCATGAACAGTGCTTGTGCCAATAGACGTGGGGCGTGGGATGTTCCCCAATGCTGGAAGTGGGGCCTGAGTGAAGAAGTTTGGGAACGCTGTCGTAGGGTGTCTCAAGGTGTCTCAGGGAGAGTTGGGATATGCAAAAAACACATTTCCAATTCACACATGCGAATTAATGCACACATGTACATGAAATTGGACAAATATAAGCACCCACCAAATTATATTATAGGTACTAAACATTAATTAATTCAAACTCTGTAGCTGTTCTCACCCTCATTTGTCCATTTGGAATGTTCCAGAGTTACTCTGTTGGACAGTGTACCACCACTGAGAAACAAAATATAATATTTAGAACCAATAAGGCAGTTAATGCAGACAATGCTAACCACACAGACATGAGGCTTTGTTGTGTAGTGATGGAACAAAGAAACAGGCCATGGGAGTACAGGGTGGGGTGCGTACTTTAGAACTGCCTCCCTCAGTGCTTCCCTCTCCTCCACCTCCCCAGGATCCTGTCCTGAACAGCGGATGATGTCTTCCTCCGTATATCTGGATCACCAGGTTAAGGAAACATAAGGACTGCATGCAACCATGTAAGATTATACAGTACTGCCATATTGGTGGATCCCTGTACAATGATGTGGAGAACATAGGATTCATGATTAGATCTTATAAAATCTGATACGTTTTAAAGGATACTGTACTCTACCATACTCCAGAGTGTGGTCTCCATCCACGTCCAGCTCAGTGTCGCTGTCACCACGGCCTTCCTTAGAAGTGCTGCTGCTTACAAACGCCGACCCTGAGGACCTCACAACACTCTGTGACTCATATTCACTCACCATATCTTCACACTCACCACATTTTCACACTCACCATACTTTCACTCTCACCTAGCACATTCTCACATAGTGGACGGTGTTAACTGACTTTCGAGTCTTAAGGGCAGATTTTCAAGGCAATTGAGAGGTGAGACTTTTTTGCTAATCTGAGGCCATTGAAAGGTGACACTTCCAAATGGGTGGAGTGATTCATGTCACCTATGCTGTCATGCCAACTCATTGTCACTCATTATCATTGTTTGTCTTGACATGTACAGTATGTCTTCTTTTCAAGGGCTGAAAAATTCCCTTAACTTTCCCAAAATTCCCAGGTTTTCCAGACATCCTGGTTGGAAGATTCCTGGAATCAGAAGGGAATATGATTTCTGGAATACCTGAGCATTTTGGGAAAGTTACAGCAATTTTATAACCCTATCTGCAACCCATATAATCAAGGTAGAGCTTTGCTGTTGGTAAGTGAAAGCAATTCAGCTTTACAGGTAGGCCTATAGTAGAGTATAATATATGTACTGAAAAGTTCAGTGCCTTTCTAACTGCCACTCAGTCACATTATCCACCACACTGCACCAGATCCAAGACCCAGTCAGAGGGGCTGGTACGGGGGTTGTGTTTTACCTTCACACCCCCCCAGCATGGATGTCATCCGTATCCTCCTCCGCTCAGTCCACTCCTCCTCCTCTCCCCCCAGGTCCACCAAAATGTCCTGAAAACACACACAGACACAGGCATGATGAAGCCACGCAGTCACGCACGCACGCACACACACACACATCCCATTTTACACACCCTACACATTTTTCTACGTAAATACATATCTCATAGCCCTTGGTTGTCACTGATGTATCTGAGGTACAGTAACCTGAGCTACGGTAATCTGAGGTACGGTAACCTGAGGTACGGTAATCTGAGGTACGGTAACCTGAGGTACGGTAACCTGAGGTACGGTAACCTGAGGTACGGTAAGCTGAGGTACGATAACCTGAGGTACGGTAACCTGTGGTACGGTAACCTGAGGTACGGTAAACTGAGGTACGGTAAGCTGAGGTACGATAACCTGAGGTACGGTAACCTGAGGTACGGTAACCTGAGGTACGGTAACCTGAGGTACGGTAACCTGAGGTACGGTAACCTGAGGTACGGTAACCTGAGGTACGGAACCTGAGGTACGGTAATCTGAGGTACGGTAACCTGAGGTACGGTAACCTGAGGTACGGTAATCTGAGGTACGGTAACCTGAGGTACGGTAACCTGAGGTACGGTAACCTGAGGTACAGTATCCTGAGGTACGGTAAAAGCAGGCCCTCTCCACATGGACACACTGAGCCTAATGGGCAGTAAATAACACCAGGAGTTTAATCACAGGTGGGCACAACATGCTGTTATTTCTGTAGCCCAGTTTCCAGACCAAGCCACCTGCTCTATCCATCATCAATCTTTCTAAGACATCCAGTACAGTATACAGTATGACGGAGGAATAGCTTGCTGTCGCCTATGATACAATGCCAGTTTCTATTTAGGAACATACCTGGCCTTCGTCAGGTCTCCTCCTCTTCAGCTTGCCGATCCTGACTGAAAGAGAACCCACACAGGGAGACAGACAGGGAGCAGAGAGGGTTAGCTAGAAGATATCTGTAGAGCTAGGTAATAGGTAGGTAATAGGTATGGTAATAGGTAGGTAATAGGTATGGTAATAGGTATGGTAATAGGTAGGTAATAGCAATTGGCTGCGCAATTCCTCATTGGAAGGAAATGTGCAATACATGGTACTGTAATGTAAAGACAGCCATACAGTAAGACCCACACACATACACACACACACACACACACACACACACACACACACACACACACACACACACACACACACACACACACACACACACACACACACACACACAATAACAAAGGTAACACAGAACAACCCCA